TATATCCAGAGACTTAATATAACAAAATTAGAGTAACTATTGTGTGTTGTATATACTTAGTCCGGCCATAAATACTGTTACACTTAAAAATAAAAAATAATATACATATATGTAATATACATTTGAATTTCGAATCTGTCATTTTTATACGATTGTTCATTGTGTTTTCTCATTTTGGCGCCAATACATTGTACAATATTTTGCGATATTAAAATGGAGTGGGGTGATAAAGAGAACCGAATCGCTGTGATTGCATTACACAAAGTAGGTATGGAGCCAAATGCAATTTTTAAAACTCTCCATACACTTGATATTAGTAAAATGTTTGTGTACCGGGCTATTAATAGGTACAATGAGACTTCCTCTGTTTGTGACAGAAAAAGATCTGGCCGTCCGCGTAGTGTTCGTAGGAAAAAGGTGGTCAAAGCAGTAAGGGAAAGAATTCGAAGAAATCCTGTCCGAAAGCAAAAGATTTTATCTCGGGAAATGAAGATAGCACCTACAACCATGTCGCGTATTTTAAAAGATGACTTAGGACTTGCAGCCTGTAAGAGACGCACTGGTCATTTCTTAACTGATAATTTAAAGAAGAATAGGGTGGTAAAATCGAAACAACTACTGAAGCGGTACGCAAAGGGAGGTCGCAGAAAAATTTTGTTTACGGATGAGAAAATTTTTACAATTGAGCAACATTTTAACAAACAAAATGACCGTATTTATGCTCAAAGCTCTAAGGAAGCTTCCCAATTAGTCGACAGAGTGCAACGTGGACATTATCCGACTTCAGTGATGGTTTGGTGGGGTGTTAGCTATGAAGGAGTGACTGAGCCATATTTTTGTGAAAAAGGTATCAAAACATCGGCACAAGTGTATCAAGATACCATTCTTGAGAAGGTAGTTAAGCCCCTTAACTTCACCATGTTCAATAACCAAGTATGGTCCTTCCAGCAAGACTCGGCGCCGCGCGCCGGGTCATAAAGCTCGGTCCACGCAGTCTTGGTTGGAAGCGAACGTTTCGGACTACATCAGAGCTGAAGACTGGCCGTCGTCTAGTCCCGATCTTAATCCGCTGGATTATGATTTATGGTCAGTTTTAGAGAGTACAGCTTGCTCTAAACGCCATGATAATTTGGAGTCCCTAAAACAATCTATACGATTGGCAGTGAAGAATTTTCCCATGGAAAGAGTGCGTGCTTCTATTGATAACTGGCCTTAACGTTTAAAGGACTGTATTGCAGCCAATGGAGACCACTTCGAATAAGTTTTTTATATTTTTAATTGTTGTATATTTATGTATTAAACTAACACACTATAAAAGTAATAAATGTTATTTGGAGTTAAAAAAATTTTTTTTTTTCTTTATTACAATATTTATGGCAAGAGCTAGGTATAGTATATTACTTTTTTGCATACATGTGCTTCAGATAATTTTCATGAACATGTCGAATGATTGCCTTACTCTGAGTAATAAGTAATTACGTACAACGAGGCAACGGCAACCACTTTGCAAAAAGCAAAAGAAGTACGTATGTACTAAGTGGCGACATAGCGCATTTACAAATTCAGAATTTAAAACTGTACTTAGCGCACGCACTCATAAAAACATGGCCAATACTATCTGATATCCCGTTATAAACGGTATTCATGCCGATTAATAGATCCGCCAATGTTGTGCATTTTTGGATTTTTAGTTCGTTTCAATCCATTACACAGAAAAAGTAAACAAACAGGTCACTAACCCGACCATAGACAGTTTAATGATGGCAAATTGCATGGCACTGAACTATAATTATTCAAATACGGTTTTAAGATGTGATTCAAATTAATATTGATGGAAAAAGTGATGAGATGTCAAGTCGAAATCTTCAAAATATACGTATATAACTGTTACTTATTATTCCATTTATTGATTTCTTTAGAATTTTAACCAAACCGGTTTTTTACTGTGTAATGGATTGAAGCAGACTATAATACCAGGTAGCTTATGGCTAAATTGACCTGGTCCACTTAATGTTGATATAATCTTTCCGTTACACCCTGTATTTCAATATACGTCTGTTCAATTTGACAAACAGATCTGGGGCCTTGCCATGAACTGTTATTACGATTCAGTTTGGGACCTTAGATTTTGTGACATAAAACTCAGCTCTTACTCATCACTCTCACTCAGCTTGTAGCAGCATTTCATGTTATTTTATTGATTTTATTAATTTATAAGTTTGCAGAAAATGTTGTTCATATTTTTAAATTATACACCTATTTATCATATTTATTTTTAGAGGCTAATATGTAATGTATGAAAATCGTATGTCTGGGACCACACGATTCAGGCTTACCTAGTGTAACTGTAATAAGAGTTCATGGTAAGGCCCCTGATCTCAAAAGTTAATCTTGTGTGAGTGTTTAATTTTAACTTCTGTTTACTTACCTGTATTTCCTTATGGTTCGCTAGTAACATTAAACAATACGTTAGCCCCGCTGCTGTAGTATCGTGACCCTAAAATTATACACTTAGTTCGGAAATGTAGTATGAAATTTTAACAATTAGTCATCATAATTCATAAATTTATGTATGCAAACCCTAAAATAAACATAGAGTTAAATGTGCGTGTCTAATGGTTTGCTCGGCCAAATACAAATGTATTGAAGGAATATTGCCAATTTGCTAATGTGCAATAAATTAAAAAAACAATTTCATCTTTCAAAAAATATCATCTGTCAAACCTTTTTACTTGAATTTTTAAGCCTTTAGTAATTACGGCTACAACGGTAGCTATAATGCATGAATTATGTTATCATTAACCCATTATACGTCTCACTGCTGGGCACGGGTCTCATTTAAGGAGATGGTTTGGGGACTTTGTGAACACCCACACATTTTTCAATGGCTCTGTACCATCTTCAACATGCAGGTTCGATCCCCATTCACAAATGTAAGTAACTTTGAAAGCGCCACCACGGATTCGAACCATTAACCACGCATTTGAGTAGCATCCGTTCTCTCACTGGACTACCAGCGCTCTATTATTATGTAGTGCTTTCTATGTAAAACACTCTCAGGGCACTTACTTCAAACATGAAGGTGTCCACTTCCTCTTGGACCCCAGCTTCGTCTATGACCCCTTCTTTTTGCCCTAAAAGCAACAGGTCCAACATGGCTATTTTCTTCTTCTTACTTGTAAGGTATACTTCATCATCGTCATTGTCATTGTCATCAGTTAAGTTGACATTATTATTCTTTATAAATTCTCTTCTCTCCGTAATAACCTTCTTTGTAAAACCTTGTACTATTGACAATTCCTTATACGTATTTCTCCCTATTGAGGACATTCTGAAAGTGATGTTTGGTATCAGATGTAATCTGGCGAATCTTTGTACGAAAAGACTACCGAGTTTGTAGATTGAATTTTTGTATTGTTGTCCTGATGAAGCTTCGTGTAGTGCAGTGCCCATGGCGGTCTCTGCAAAATAGTTTTTATTGCCTTAAAATTTAAATTTAATTAAATTGGCTAAAAAACAGAAACAGACGTTACGCGTTTCGCTTCCGCTTGAGTAAAGTCGCGTATGTATGTGACTTAAAAATGAAGGTACGTGTTGCCTCAGGGTCTCCAACCGTCGACCTCTCCGATTGAGAAGCAGCCGTTTCTTTTCTTCTTCATTGGGCTACTACCGCTCTCATGATAACAATAAATTAGAATATAGGATGTGGCTAATATGTTATGCTGAGTCAAAGAATCAGAAGACACGACTATCTCACTTACCACAAATACTGCTAAGCGTGTACTCGGATATAACAGGAATAATGTCTATGGGTTCGCCTTTAGTTTTATCCAGAGCGTCGAGTAAACGCCGGCCATTTTCTTCCAAAACGACATAATAACGCTTCAGGATGTTGAAATGAAACGCTGGAGTCAGAATTTTCCGTCTCTGTTGCCATTTTTGACCTATACCACAAAAAATAGATATATTTTATCACCATTAAGATATAGATATGTTCCTAAATTATAATACTGCATAGTCTCAGTAAACTTTATAAAAGTTTGATTGCATATACTGTGGTATATAAGCTTACGGTGTGGTTCGTGTGTTATATGCAATCAAAACTTATTATAAAAGATTTCAATAAAAAAAATACCCACCGTTGCTTAAAAGTAATCCCTCTTTTAACCACGGTTCAACAATGCCGTATACCTTCCCTTTTTCACTATGTTTATTACCTGCAGTTACTATCTGTAACGAAAAGTGAAGTGTAAATAAATATATTTTATCTAAACACATATCATAATAGTAGTTTATGTAACTGTTACATAATGAAAGCTTTATAAAATACGAGTGTTTTATTGCCTAATTGTGTACAGTTACATACACTGTTTTACCTGCACCATTGACCTATCCAACAAATGGACATCGGGTCTAATACAAAAACCACGAAAAAAATGTCCGAAGTTAACCTATACAAACGTAGTGAAAAAGTAAAACATTTAGTTTAAATTGTAACTTCATTGCAATACTGCCTAATTTTGCTTGCAACAATTTAAGGGAACAATTTAAACACCATTTTCAGCTTCTACTGGAAACTTAACGAAATGCTCCATATTTAGCTTCGACTGAAAATTACTTGAACACAAGAGTAATGGAATAGCCTTTCTTGTAAATATTAATTATTTTTTATGTATATTATTATGTCGTAGTTTGTACAAATTCACTTAAAGGTATAATGAAGAGTTGGGCAGATACATACATATAAATATTACGACGAATGTGAAAATAAGCGTGTACTATAAAAAATGTACCGATATTCCAACTAAACGTAAACTTAAATATCCGTAATTCCGAAAACCGATTTATAATAAAACCGTTACGCTTTCGAGTAATTTTGATGCTTTTCTCAAAGACAAAATTAGCTTTTGTTTTGTAATCACTGAGGAGGAGTAAGAAAATTACATTTATGTATAATATTAATTAATAATAAAAATATGCCAAAAAAATCTCACTTTACGTTATTATCGCTTTGTTCGCTCGGACCTTTGATATGTAATCTTACGTTTTTATCAAACTGAATTAAGATTTAAATTAGTAATTAATTATAGCATTTGTCATATAACGAATTCCTGTCGTTGTATGGAGTGTCCGAGGTGTGATAAAAGGTAAAAGCCCGCAGCAGTGCATCGGTAATATTCTCGTGAAGTGACTCAATAGGGTTTTCTTACTCACGTTGCTGTATAATAGTGACTAGCTAAAACGTACCTCAATGTCTCCAGGATTCAGGATGTTCACTCCCGTTAAAAAAAATGCCCACCACCCGTAAATGTCTTTATATTTATTTGCCAAACGTCTTCCTAATTTAAAAATTTGAACTGGAAACAACAATTTATAAATTTAGTATGTACAAAATGGTAAAAGTTAATTCTTAACACTAATAAAAGATGAATGGCAGTTACCATAATGATTTATGTATATTGCGAGTTCTATTAATCATCATCATCATGACCACTTCAATCTAAAAATGTCCACTAACGAACTTGGGCCTCCCCAAATATTTCCACAACGCCTTGTGTTGGTCGCGTCCAATCGTAGAAAAATTCATAAGATCTGCTGGTTCGTTCCGTAGCTCAGTTGGGAGAGCGTCTAACACGGTATGCTGAAGGCGCTGGTTCGAATCCAGCTGGATCAAAGGAATTTTACTTAGTGTTCGATCTTTGTATTAATAGTTATAACACACACTGATCAATTACTTTCGTCTTGAGACACTGCGGAATTGTATACGAGAAGATAGGGAAAGATAATCCTTTTAATAAACATGGGCAATTTCTCACCGGGCGGAAGCCAAATAATCGTAGCTAAGTTTCCAATACAAAAAGTCTCTTCCGGACATGGTAGTTTTCTTATTAGCCGCACATTTTCAGTTCCGTATTTGAAACAAAAATGGAGGAAACACAGAAATATTGCAATAAACATTAAATACGTAAACATATTGATTTGTTTATGCAATTACACTGAGAATGCAATGACTGGGCAGTATAGCACTGGAAACAAGAATGAGCACCAATAACACAGATATTTGTACAATCGAAAATATGCTGCGATAAGAAGTAATTAAGTGCATCCGCGATGATAAGACTTGTTTGATAACATGATATAATACGTAATAATACTGTAATATCTTAGAAACGCTGGAAACGGGTTTTACTTTCACAAAAAAGTTATCAAAATAACTATTATTACATACCACATACAATAAAACGTGTTATATGAACTTTGAAATGTGCGGTGTTTTTGATGATAAAACATAAAATGATATTCTATAGCGATATCTGTTTCACATTGAGTCAAATTCAATCAATCACGGGCGGTTCAATCAATTATGTCAATCATCAATCAGTTATAGTCTTAGATGATGGAAAAAAATAAAGGAAAGGAGCTGCCTTATCTACGGAATAAACGTCCCTACCTAAACCAAAAATATCCACCACAAATGGCGGATTTAGTGTTGTACCATATTCATAGATAATATCGACGTGCAAATATATGGCTTGAATGTTGAAACTGTTGTTACTGCGTTTTATGTTTGCAAATTTGTGTAGTTTACTGTAATCAAAGTATGATTAATACTTGGCTATTATTACTAGGCAAGTAATGAGCCATTTTAATCAAAATTAAATATAACTTTATTTACCAATAAATATAACAACGATGGAATTGCATTAACATGTAATCTAGTTACATTCAAAGTTCTATTTCAATTTGAATGGAGCGAACAAACGAAGATGGTATTTGATCCAATGTTTATGTTCGGCAGTCCTATAATTTCCAATCATTCTTTCTTTCTTTTTTCATTTGTAGGTAAACTTTCAAAATAATAATAATGAAATAATAAAAGCCTCGTAGTGAATTGTTTCAATAACAAAATATCGATAATATGTCTGCTTACAAGAACAACTCTATCTCAAAATAATCGTTCTCAACAATTATCAAAATATACTAACAAACAGGCAATCTAAAGTAACCAAAGCAAAATTCGGCAAGACTTATAAATAAACTACTTAAATGAGTCTAATTACATGAGATATTTCGACGTCTATTTACAAACTTTTTATAGCGAGTGCATACCAAGAATGTCTGGACCGTCTGACTCCAGCATTTGCCCTCTACTTATCCCTTCTAACCCTAATATTTTTCCTCGCGCTCCTTACTTGCTTTTCATTGGTCAGCATATTATAATCTTGTAACCACTCATTAGTGGCGCCATAACCGATTAAAAATAACACTTACGGCGCCACTGTTTTGCAAAATGAAATAATTTGCAACGAAATTAACTTAAAACCCCATTTTAGATCGGAATTATTGAAACGTCAATTCTGTGATTAGCAAACTATTTTGATTAGGTTAGAGGTTTATTAAAATACTCCATGCCGTTATAATTACTGTCACTTGTAATAAAATTATTTTTATTGTAACTTCATTCTGTATAATGCTCATCGAGTATATGTATAACCAGAAATAAAGACGAAATGTCATTTATTTTGTTAGAAAACTATTCTGCCAAATGACAACTGGTGACAACTGCGCTCCGATTGGCCAGCCCGAATTCGAAATATACATTAGAGTTGGGCAAAGCAAACATTATATTATCGAAATCGGTAGTCAAGATATGTTATAAATAACCATTACCTGCTTTTTACACGACTGACCAAACAAATGATGAAAAAAAGTTTTCATGGTGAATGTATGTAAGGAAATATCGTTTATTGATTCCTCTGTAACTTCTGAATGTTTTAACCGATTTCGAATTGTGTAGTAATGTTAGAATCCATAGTCATTCCGAGTGAGCATGGCATATGGTATGAAAAAATGTCAAAACACAATTTTGCACTGACAGCAAACAAAAAAATATATATAAATAAAAATGAAATAAATTGTTAGTATTAAAAATATGTCAGTAATTATTATACTTGCAAATATCGACATATAATATGATTTTTTCAGTGCAACACTAGTAACGCGTGCCTAATGAATAGAATGAGATGACGCAATGGGAGTTGCATTAGGTGGAAGCAAGACGCATAAATGATTTGAAACAATTAATGGGTGTCGTCAATTGTTTCACTTCAATACAACCAGTTTAACTTGAGCTATGTCATAATGGACGAAAATTGAAAAAAAAAATACATTTTTAATATGTAATTACCGATGAAATGTAATTCCGTTTGTTTTGTAATTAGATGTTTTGCGCGTCATTGTTATAGATATTATCTTTATTACAATAAATACAGAATATTTTTTGGAATATACGGAGACGTACACGCAGGTCAGTTGTTGGTGCTATACTATTTCAGTTAAACGAGAGGTTATATATAAATATAAAAGTGATATAACACTGATGAGTTAACGGAGTGTATGGCCCTTATTTCGTCTCTGTTTCTGGTTATATACCCGATGGTAACGATTTACAAATTTCTTTTAATAAATTTGACGTAAATGGGCTTAGCACTTCTCAGCACTAAGTCTGAGGCGCACACGACGTCCTCCTGCGTAGTGACCGGCTGTAGCTCGAATTTGCGCAGGATTGCCGCCACGCACGACTTCATTTCCATCATTGCGAAGCGTTGGCCTGTGAAAAATATATAGGCTTAGAAAAATTTCACACGAAACTCCGCTAAAATTACGTGAGCGCAATAAATTTTATTCGTGACAGTTTAAAATAACAAAAATCTAAATCAAAATTAGTGTTTCACATGCAACTTCTCTAATTAATAAAATAACCACCTATACAATTCCTAGATCCCGCACTAAAAGGAGTATAGGCGTAGGGATGTCGACCGACACTGTTCTCAGGCAGGAACCGATCAGGGTCGAAGACAGTAGCGTTTTTGAACAAGTCTTCACGGCGATGTAGATTATAGATGAAGATGTGACAATTTGTTCCTAATTTAATTTCGTATCCACCTGAAAGAAATTGATAATTATTTTCTTAATATATATGTACAGTTACCATTTTTTAAATTGAATTTAATTCATATAATAACAGTTTATTAAAGCAGCACAGCGAAGCGGGAAAACGGTTTCTTCTCAATGTCGACGTTACAAATTCTTGTGACGGCATGTACCTATGACGTCATTTACTAAGTGACGTTCATACATAATTATTTATGTGAGCGAATGTTTAGTGATTTTTTAATGTTATAATTCAAATAAGTACAAAAATTTACTTATTTAAGTCGTCAAACTGCTTTGCACTTTGTTGGCGAGATGTGCGCTCTTGAGTATATCTGATTATTTTATTTTATGTAATAACATGTACTTGTACTTATTTAGTCAGTTAACAGTAAACATTCACTAAAACGCAAGCTAAACGAGTACATTACTTAATTTTTTATCATGTCTTAAGCAATCTATGTCATTAAAAATCTTGAGAACTAAATATCGTGTAGGTAGTTATTTACTTTTACTAGTTTACCCTACCTTACTCTTTTTGTCATATATTTATTCCTAAACTTAACTTTATATATATTTTATTTATTTATTTGCGTCAACAAACAGTAGACACAATTAAAACTTATAACTATTTTTTTACAGTAAATATGTAATGATTGTGTCACTAACTCAGTTAACCACTAAGTACTAAAAAAATTGAGAAGTGGTGATGCATTTCAATAATAAATAACGAAAGAAAAAAATAATATTAAAAATAAATTTTGTGCTTATCAAACCAATAAAACGTTTAATAGAAAAAGAAAAAAGAACTACTGCATACGCACATGCGTTATAACGCGTAAAATAACAATATATTATACATATACATATATAATAGAACAAAATAACTTCATACATCCTTGTGTAAGTCCAAAATTACCTTTTTAAAATGTAATTAATTACAGCCACTATAACTAAACCCGTGTCACCCTGGTACCACATTCATTCACTCTATATTCACTCACTCATAGCTTCCTGCTTACCCAGCGTTACATTTTCCTCAAGTTTCCTCCCTATGAAATGAACAGGAGGATATAGTCGTAACGATTCTTTGACGCAACATTCTAAGTACTTCATTGAAGACAAATCATCTGTTGTGGCGTGTCGTGGAGAATCCCCGAATATCTCATTTAGTTCACATACTATTTTGTCCTGGAATACGTCAAAAATAGTTATTCAACAAATACGAAATAGACAAAGTCAAATAAAATAAGTCTTTAGTAATGTTATAATTATTAATACAAAGATCGAACATTCAGAAAAAATTCCTTCGATCCGGTCGGATTCGAACCGACGTCTTCTTGCATACCGTGCCATATGCTATACCAACTAAGCCACGGAACGAACCAACGGACCTCACGAATTTTTCTATGTGCTTGCGTCGTGTCTTGGTACTTGGTCTTTCAACGACTTTTTAGTCGTAGCGCCATCTATGAGAAATCTATTACAGATTTATCACCCAGTTAGTACCTTTACAGCTACCAGTCCTAGCGAGAGATGTCGCTATTCACTGTATTAATTAAATTTTTATTGAATTGATATTCAATTATTTTTTGTGAAATTACTCCACTAGTTTGTTATAATTATTAATACAAAGATCGAACACTCAGAAAAAATTTAGTAATTTCTTTAGTAATGTGTTAAATTTTGTTGTAAATCGAACTTTCCATTGGTTAGAATAATCACGTGACAACATTTGACCGGTTTATGATGCGCCTTCGCGCACCATATTTTTATGAAACTACCCTTCTGGTGTATTAGGTATATTTAAAATAATAATATTATATAAAACCATCGCATGCGCAATCCGAATTTTCAACTCGTTACGCTCCAGACAAACCTGTTTCGCCTCCTCCGCTCACACCAGCCTATTAACCTTTACCTTTAGGAACTTTTTGAAGATTGATGATTTTCTGCAATCATGTTTAGGTATTTTTGGCCGGCAAATTATTGAAAGCCTAACTGAAGAAAGACTTACATAGTTTTCTCACAAGTAGCGCCACGACTAAAAAAGCTGTTAAAACCAAGAACAAATATCTGCAGCAAGAACATAGGGAAATCCGTAAGGCTTAGTGACTCGTTCCGTAGCTCAGTTGGGAGAGCAATAGACCCGGTATAGCGAGGTCGCTGGTTCGAGTTCAGCCGGATCAAAGGAATTTTTCTTTGAGTTTTGTTCGATCTTTACATGAATTATGGCAAATTATTGTTAATCAAAATTTAATTCAGTATTACCTGGACATTTTTGTTATTGGCCAATAACATCAAACAAAAGGTAAGCCCGACCGCAGTTGTATCGTGTCCCTGTAAGAAACAGAGTAAAAAAACGCTCTAATAAAAAAACAATACTGTCATAAGACTAAAGTTGTTTTTTAAATTAAATAATTGAATTAACCCTGGTAGATAGATATATCATCTGTGTAATCTTATAACACAAGCAAATTGATATTTCTCCTTTTTTCTTTTAAATTTTGGGCTGTATGATTTGTATGTATCATTGCCGTTGAATATGATAATGAATTCATATGTCCAAGGCTTTGGGTTTTCAGTAAATTTAAAAAAAAAATAGACACACGCTTGGTATCTCAACTGATGTTAACCGATGATGTAACCTAACGTCCTGCCTTGAATAGTCCTAATTTGTACTTTCCGGGAAACACACGACGTTAGTAGTGTATGTATCCATTCTAGCCATTAAGAAGGAAGGAAAACTTTTCATGCGAACTTTGTGTTGGACTTTCTATTCCACCGAAGGAGGAACAGTGAGGGGAGAACTAAATTATAAAATTCTTGCGTACATTCTCCGAAATAAACCCGATAGAAAACCATAAAAATAAACATCCAACTTTCCGCGTTGGTCGAGTTTTAAGGTTGACAAGTCCCATGTGTCAGTAATTTCACCAACACCTTACCCTCACGCTTCAAAACCGAAACGCTCACATGTTCGATGCTCACGTTACTACTTAGCGACAGGGATGGGTAAGTTGGCAATACTTCCCAGAACGAACTCTTTCACAAAAAACTTTACTGCGCTGCTCTGTCGCGTTACACATTTAATGATTCTGAATAATGATAATCATTAAAATTTATAATTAAAAAAAATGTCTACATGTTGACGAAAGAGGTGAGGTTTGGACTTTTTATGATATCAAGCGACACGACGAACAAGTCGTTCGCCTGGTAGTAAGCGACACGCCTGTCCATACCCGTTGCAGTACCACTCAACATTGCTACTGCACCCGTCACATTGAGACATAACAAGTACCTGTAATTTCACCAGTACCCTTCCAAATCGGATCGCAGTAATGCTCTCATATTTGCTTGACGCCTGACGGCACAAATAATAAGTAAGGTAAGAACTTTTTCACAAGCAGCTCTACTGCTACTTTCCCTGGTTGATTTTGAACTATCACATTTTTGCTCTACCGAGAATGAAGTACTGGCTGACCTTGAAAAGGATGCCTAGCTTCTCGGCAGCAATTTTATAATAATACATTATAATTTAATTGTTACAGTTTAAAGCAATTTATTACTTGGTTTTTGACAACGACGCCCTATTTTATATGGCAACTTTTGGTTCTTCTTCACAAGTGCGTTGTGCAATTTGCGTTATAAATAATTATATTTAAACACCGTCTTACCTCGAACATAAACGTGTCGACTTCCTCTTGAATGCCCTCATCGTCAATAACACCTTCATGTTGAGCAGATATTAGCAAATCTAACATTGCAATCTTTTTCTTCTTGCTCGCCATTGACCAATCTTCATCATTTTCTTCTGGAAATTTAATCCCATTCTGCTCTATATACTTCTTCCTTTCCGTAATAACACTTTTTGTAAACGTCTTAACAATTTTTAATTGCCTTTTCGTCTCCTTTCCAATAGGCAAAAGGTTAAATATGATATTGCTCATTAAATAAGGTCTGCTAAATCGATCAATAAACAGCTTCCCAAGTTTATAGATCGCAGCTTTGTACGTTTCCACCGAACTCAGTCCGTCTTCGTCCATCCGAGTACCCATTGCAGTTTCTGAAAAATGTTCTTAAAAATTAATTAAACCCTGCAACACTGTTATTTACCATTATATCTTAATGAATTTAGGAAGATTTTGAAACATAAAAGTAAAAAATCGAAAAGTCCAAATTACTTTATTTGACAAGCATACAATAAAAATTAACAGCGCCGGAACATGTCAAATGGATCTATTACTCAGCTACAGAAGGCTGTGAAATACATTGACGTCACTGATATACTGCCATAGTCCGTCATGGTTAAGAACACACAAAACATTATCAAACATACACAAACATCTCAGTAAAAACGATGATGTCGAGATCTTAGGTTTTCGCGATTATCATACAATGGGAATGCAAGATTTTTCGGATGTTTTTTCATAAAAAGTGGATAAACAAATAAATTGAGCATTAGTAAACTTTTTAAAACACTTTTTAACCATAAATCTATTTTTTTTTTAAATTAAAAACAAAAACATTCACTGAACTGAAAAAACCAACTGACGAATTGGCTTTGTGACATGTTCCTTTTTGAGAATTCGATGTTGTATGCAATTGTCAAATATTTTAAATTGAACACCACCGCAAGACTCAGACATATTAACTAAACTAACGAATAACTCACGTATTTAACTCGAATTTTTGCTCGACATATTTCAAACTTTCGAAAACAGAAACTAGTCCGTGGTCATTTTTCGTCGAGTCACCGCCGCGGAAGCTCACGATGAAGGACCACGGAAGCTCACGATGAAGGACCACGGACTGGTTCGAACCATGTCGAGCAAAAATTTAACTTAGATACGCGAGTTAAGGTGGTTTTCCAGGTGGCAAGACGCAACGAGGCGAGATGAGAATATAAATTTGTATGGCAACATTTCAATTCTCTCCTCGCTTATCTTCGGTGGAAAAGGTCTGGATTGACGAGGATGAAATTGAAAAATTGAAATATTTGTTGATGTAATATTGAACAGTATTGCTGCCGGCATAGAGCATTATACTCTTTAACAGAAACATGATTTCTCGCGCGAGATTGTGAGGAATTACACGATTTGAGATTTGAAAAACGATGGTTTCATCTGATTCTACTTCCGTTAACATATAATAATAATAATTTACGGGACATATTACTTCAGTCGCGTATTTATCGCTCGATGAACTGAACAACACTGATTCTTCACTATCCACAATCACAGCGCGATATCGCGATGGCTCGCGCGAGCTAATAATGGTAACTTTTGGTGCAAATAGGCGGGCGAGATTTCAATTCTCGTCTTTCATCGTCTCTTCTCGCCTCGCCGGTGGAAAACTACCACTATCTGGTTAGTTTAGATAACTGTCAAATATTAAAAAAATGTATTTACCGGGATAGGCCGGGAAGTAATTTGTTTTTAATTTTGTATCAGGCAAAAATCAGGCTCTATCTATTCTTTGTTAAAAAAAAACGAACGTCGTTTCCGCACATGTTTGAGAAAAATAATTTTACCACAGATGGCGCTTAAAGTGTAAAATGACAGAACAGGAATAATGTCGATCGTCTTCCCATTGGATTTTTCCAAACTTTGTATCAAGCGTTGGCTGTTTTCTTCGAGTGTGATAAAGAAACGCTTCAGGATATTGAAATGGAATGCTGGAGTTAAAATCTTGCGACGTCGTTGCCACTTTGACCCTTGAATAAGAGAAGTATGACACATCATTATATCTGCGGGTGTTTGTACGAAATAGGGAAGGAGTTTAAATAAGTTATTCAACATTGTACAGTGTATTATTTAAAATACTGTCATTAGAATAGAGATAATACATCGGTTGCACCCTCTTTGCATCTCTAATTTTCTAGAAGAAATTGCAACTTAACAGTAACGCGCCTGTTGTACATGAGCTTATCCTGAGAAACGTGCATTATCATTTCTTATGTGCAGTATACTATATTTAAAGAATTCTTATTTTTTTATAAACCAACCACTTATTTATTTAGAATTATTTCTCGCCTCCAAGCAAACACCCTTTATAAAGCAACTCAATGGAACTCATTAGCACAAGAATAAAATAGTAATGAAACTTTAAACTTATCTATTCGTAATAAAGCTTCTGATGTAGTGAATTTAACATTTCAATTTCTAAGTTACGTGCATTTGTGAATATTTTGTACAACTACCTCTTGCTAATCGTGGAGGAAAATACGCATAGCGAAGAAGGTTCACAACGTGTAAAACATGTGAAGTCCACTGACCTGAATGGAGTCAACGTGGCGAACTATGGCGTACACCCTCACAGCAAGTGCGATGTGTAGTGGGTGGACGTCCACCTATTACACAATCTATAGAAATTTATGATTTTATTAATACATCGAAGTTTTACCAGTACTCAAAAGCAGTCCTTCTCGTAACCAATCCTTTAGAATGTAGTACGGTAAGCTTTTCTCAATGTGTTTTGAACTTGACATTACCGTCTGAAACGAAGCAAAAAATTTAATATCCCATTAACATCAGAAATAGACATAAATTGATAATCAATTGTGAATATGGAATTAATATTCATTAAGAAATAAATCATTACAGACATTCGAAATTCAAATGTAACGTCGCTTGCTCGATCTCAGTGCGACGTGAGAAGTGGCATTGAACCTATTTCGATGAATTTGCATCGTCCACCGTTGTTTGGCTTCCCTATTTTCTTAATTTTATTTCTAATTTTAATATTCACAAGATTATAGTATGCTAATGCAACACAATACAAAAACCGTTGCGTTGTCAAAGTCGTTCATTGCCGTATAGAGACGAGAACATCAGTGAGACAAATCTTGAGTGTGAACAATACCGTGTATTGAGTTCACGAGACCATATCGTTGGGATATCGAAAAACGTTTTTCGTCTTCATTTTCAGCATTGGATGGCACACATGCGAAGTTGATTGAAGCAAAATAATTTAAAAAATAGACCGGGTGGAACGGAATGACCGACAAAGCTTAAAGTACCACATTAAGAACCTTAAATACGTGAGTTTTATTTACTGTAAATGTAAAATAAGTACAGTTAAAAAATTCTTGTGCAGATATTGACTTTACTCTCTACTATACTCAAAAATAATAAGAAAACGAACCGTGGAGGTGTTCTATCAGACCTCCATTAAACGATTTATTTACATCACATTTGTTAAAATTGCAACTACTCAACTCAAGCTAAAATAGGATTTTTAATAAATTTAGTTTTAAATGTTGAACTCTTCGTTTTGAAGTGAATAAATTTTTGTACTATGAATAAAAAGTATTTCCAAATGTAATTGAAAATAGACTTATACAAAATAACGATCTCGCGATAATGGTATCAATAATAAATAAATAAGTAACAAGTGCAACTCCAGACGGCGATTTCAAAGCAACACGCAAATTTTTTGTGGGGATTTTTGCGAATCGCATTTGGCTGCGTTTTATTTTACGCTACTATTATAAATTAAGTACTTGACGCATGTTACAGAACGTGTTTATTTAATTTACTTATGGTAGTCTTATGACGCAGTCAATATGAATTTAATTCCTAACTAGGTCACTTAAAAAAATTTACTTTTCTAAATTTTTCCGGGTCCCACCACAACCACACCCCGGACACTCCATACAACAGTCGTAAGTTATTTACCTACTACTACTACATACACCAAGACGCTATCTAATTTTTAATAATATTACGCATTAATTGTATTACGGTTACACTTTACGTTAAAACGTTACTAACTAACGTTAACGTTAGTAACTTCAAAAAGGTTAACTCCCAATATTATGGGCAAATGAAAATTTACTCGCAACATTGATGTTTAAAATAAATTTATTTCATTTTTATTTACGACAATCTAAACAAACAAAAGCAAATTTTCCTGTGGAAAGTAACCTCAGCAGTTTTATGATCATTTTCGAACCGAGAATTGCAAATTTTAATTACATATTTCATCATTTTTGATACTTTTTGTCGCGTCTCGGTGACGTTGTACTCACTCGAATTCAAGATGCCTGTAGGCACCAGTGCCGTGGGTACCGTTTGGAGGCGCAGATTGCGCATCTATTGTTTACAAGTGTGACATCATTGCTCGAAGTAATAAAATAAAATACCCGCACAATTCATCATCATTCATATGATCATTGATCAAAGGAATCGACTGGTGGGGTATTATTTGCTGATCAATGATGGAGGTTAACGACCTATTAAAAATGTATAATTTACAAATTTATTTTCTAACTAGTAGTTGTTCCCAAACAGCTGTTGATTGTATGATTTAGGGTTGACAACATGGACTTTTCAAGCAAATCTTTGTCATTGAATAACTCGGAAACTATTACACTTAGAGCAAAAGACTTTCAGTACAATTAAGTACATATTTAAGACTCTTCAGACTTTATGGCTTTGTCGGTCGTTCCGTTCCATGCTGTATATTATTCACTCTAATAAATTATATAACACGTAATGTGAATTGCCTAAGCATATATATTTATTGGACGTCATTGTTTATTAGGACGTTATTGTTTCGACTAATACAAAATTATATTAATGATCTTACTATTAATGATATCTGGTAAGCATCGTGAACACTTGTACCCTTAAGTGACTACACGCGGAGAACAGAAAAACTTGTTTGTTGTACATACCTCGATGTCCTCGGGACGACTAATGTTGACAGAACCGTGAAATGGCATCCACCATCCGAATAGTCCGTCATATTTTGTATTCCACTCTGCACTTAGTTTCAACAATTCAACTGTATATTGTAAACAGAGCATTAATTACCCAAATATAGTGGCACTTCTACAGCAAATTATATATTTTTGTTATTATTTTATATAAAATAGACACACACTTGGTCACAATCTCAATGTGACGAAGGAACGGCGTTTGTCTAAAATTTGCCTATTCACTCTAGCTTTGAATAGTCCTAAATTGTAGTTTGTAGGAAACACAGACGCCGTGGACGACGGTAGTGCATTATATTACTCTGCCAGGCGCATTAGGAAGCTAAGCGCTGGTGAAAATGAAAGGAATGAAGGAAATGATCCAATAGAAAACCGATTTGAAGTCTTTTTTCTGCGGTGGTCAAGATTAGGTAGCATGGACTCTACAACAGTGTTGTTACTAATAAGTCTCTTTGTTTTTCTCCATTCATTACATTCTTTAACAGACAAAAAACAAACAGGTATTATCCAGGAAGTAGAGTTTAAAATAAATCGTTATATCAGCGCAATTAGAAGACTGTAGTTCTCAAAATTCCCTCAAGATGGCGAAGATTGTCTTTAAATTTGTCATAATCAATGGTGGAAAAAAGGTGTTTCACATATAAAGATGTGTGTATATATATAGCTACAAGGAGCGATATAGAGTTATTAAAACCACCAAATATTAATTAATTACTTTTTTCGAATTCCGTATTTCCAGTTGAAAGAAACTCCTCTATTTATTCTATTCAAGAAGATAAATAACCGTACATGGGTAAGACCGTCAAAAATATCACTTTTTTGTCTAGTTTAAGCGTCCAGCAGTTTTTTTTAATAAAACGTATTAAAATTACCTAGTGTCAACGTTTCCCTTTTAAAATACGAAATTTCTGCTAGTAGTTCGAATTTATGAACATCTGTTGTACTGTGTTTTCGAATGTAAATAAAATACTTTTAGAGCACGATCACAACGATTGTCATGCAAACTAAAATGTCCCAAAATTCGTAAATAAAATTTTAAATTACATTTTTTTCTTAAGATCTACTAGCAAACCAGCAAATCTCGCCATTCCGCCAATATGACCGTCAATATGCGGGGCGCCATGCTATATCTAAAACTAGGGCCGGCGGAGAGTGACCAATCTCGTTACTCTTTTATTCTCTGTTTTTGTAAAAGGTCACTTATCTACTGCATTTTTTACACGGCATCATTAAAATTATATTAAAATCCAACTTCGACTTCCTAGGTCAGTAGTTTTGTCCTACGATGCAGTAAAACCATTTCTGGGAATCCGGAATTCGAAACAGTAATTAATTATATTTATTGGTGTTAACAACTCTATGTCGCTCCTTATAGCTATATCTATACATGTGTCTATATATGTGGAACACCACCCCGACCATTGGTCATAATCAATCGACTCACCTGGATTAACGAGGAGAGTCAATGCATTTCCAATAATAAAATGCTCCTTGGGACACGGTAACTTTCTAACCAATCGTATTTTCTCGTTATTCTTAAAGTACCAATCTAGTGCCCACAAAAGTAGTATAATTAACACTAAATACACTATCATTTTGCTTTCTTCAATGGATGTGACTGAGTCTTGCATTACTGATGAGATCCAGTAATGTATTGAGATAACTTTTGCCTAACGCAAACTGTTGTCTTGTGATGTAGGGTTAAAATGTTATCCAACTGGCCCACAGAGTCTAAAGTTTTAAAATTTTTGTTTTACTAGTGTACGGTATCTCAAAGCAAAAGAACTTCCAACACACATACAATTTTAATTCGTTTCGGACTCGCGGTTGCATTGTAGTATATTTATTATGAATTATTTTTATTAATATTGAGCAGAAAAATTGTGGTTTGGGCACATGATGCAGATGGTTGATAGTAGAGCGGTGTAACGACGATGTGGAAGGGAACAACGCAAAAGGATGGCCACGAAAGACGTTTTAGATCACATTGAGAATGTTCTTAAAAAGCTGGAGGGCGTAATGAAGAGAATAACAGAGCTTGCATGAAAATATTGATGAATGTAAGTGAAGCAAGAGAGATTTGCCTTGTGATTGAGAGTCTCTTCTTACCTCAGTTGGAATCCAAATGGCTTGAGTATGTACATTATGTGTATAATCCTGAATTCTAAAATATTTTTTTCAAACAAGAAATTTTATTGTAATTATTAATACAAAGATCGAACACTCAGAAAAAATGTCAGACGAAAAAACACTCAGAAAGGTGACGAAATATCATAGATTTCTCATAGATGGCGCTACGGCTAAAAAGTCGTTGAAAAACCAAGTACAAAGATACGACGCAAGCATATAGAAAAATTCGTGAGGTCGGCTGGTGCGTTCCGTGGCTTAATTGGTATAGCGTCTGACACGGTATGCCAGAAGACGTCGGTTCGAATCCGACCGGATCGAAGGAATTTTATCTGAGTGTTCGATCTTTGTATTAATAATTATAACAAACTAGTGGAGTAATTTCACATAAAAATAATTGAATATCAATTCAATACAAATTTAAAAGAAATTTTATTCTAACTAAATGAGATATTCCATATCGCCTATGCATTAGTGGTATTAGCATCCAGGAAAGTACTGCCACTTTATCAATTTCTGTCGCCAAGCGGTAATGTGAGCATTACTGCGTTTCGGTTTCGAAAAGTAAGTGTGCTGGTGAAATTACAGGCACGTGGGACTTGTCAACTTATATATCAGGATGTCAGGTGCAGTGCCCCTCAGATTTTTGTGATTTACAAGTCTGAGTGTCACTGCAACTGTTATAGACAAGCGTGTCGCTTACCACTAGGCGCACTACTTGTTCGTGCCCTTACTTAGAATTATAAAAAAAAACCGCTCACATTTTGTAAAGGAAAACCCTTTCTCGATTAAAAAAATTACATAACGATCATAACAAAGATAACCAGTTCAAATAGGTCCCACTTTTATTACGCAACATGTACAATTGTTTACGGCTTAGTGCAAAATTTATTTTTAATGACAGTTAAAATATAAATATGTAGATAATAGCTATCAGTTCTTAGTGTAATTAATATACCGTTTGATCTCAGCAAAGTCAGCAAAGTCAAGTAGCAATATCTTCCAGGTAACCTACGAGTATAGAAATTGAAGAGTTGGAAAGAGGGGTGCAACCAAAGAATATCTTGTAGTAAAAGTGTTTTAAATAGATGCACTCACATCAATATATATTATTTTTATTACAGTATTTTTATATGAAATTAACGAACGCTCGGACGTTAAGCGACGATGTTAAGCAATTGTCTAGTAATTAGCCCTAACCTTGAATAGCTTTAATGTTAGCCAGCATCAGGTTGCATTAATCCTTATAAGTCACTTTTATTTACAGATGATCTTAAGTTATAGATTAATCATTCTGATACTTTATGATACAACATGTTAAACATTAAACCCTTCCAAAAGCTTTCCACATGTCATAAAGATTTAATTGCTCATTAATTTTAACGTTAATCGTATTTTTCACAGACTGGCCCGCAAAGCCAGCCGATCCCCCGAAGGCTGGGCCAAATGTCTTCTCGGCGCGTGCTACTCTCTGTACTTCCTGTCGCTGCCGTGCCGCATCATGCTGAACCGGGGAAAGGAGCATGCGACGCTCAGGGAAGCCTTCGAGCTCCTCGAACGAGCCACCAAGTTGAGGGTACCTTGCGATGAGGTGAGTGACACCACGAAACATTCTTTATCAGCGATTATTGCGACGAAAATGTGATATCTAACCAAAGGCTTACGCGCAATTGTGTATTAGGGTTGCAGAAGGTTACCTAGTGCTGGAGATCTGGTGACCTAAAAACAGGCATTAGCGAACATAATAATTTGATCTTTTGTATTGCATATATTTGGTTTGTGGATGGGTTTTTTTATGATACCAAGAGACGGGACGAACAAGTAGTGCGCCTGGTGGTAAGCGACACGCCTGTCCATAAAGGTTGCAGTGCTATTTTAAATCTCTGAAAAAAGATCTGAGCGGCACTTAAGTTGACAAGTCCCATGTGCCCGTAATTTCACTCTTAAAACCGGAACTCAGTAATATTTACGTTACTGCTTGGCGGCAGTACATCCCTGGACGGACTCTTTCACAAGGAGCTTCGCGGCGACTAAATAAATATTACAAAGCTGTGGTTTTAGTAGAAGTGCGGAGTTTTCTATCACAGGCATTACTATCATTGCCCTACCCACAAATGGCCGTCGGGTCTAATACAAACTTCACGAAAAAAATGTCCGAAGATAACCTACAAACGTAGTGACATGTAACGAAGTGTAAAAAGAACTAAAACATTTAATTTAAAATGTAAAGTCATTGCATTATTGTCTAATTTTGCTTGCAACAATTGATGCCCGAAAAACAACATATTCAGCTTCTACTGGAAATTTAACAAAATACACCATATTTTGCTTCGACTGAAAATTACTTGAACACAAGAGTAATGGAGAGCCTTTAATATTAATTAATTTTTACATATATTATTATATCGAATTTTGTACAAATTCACTTAAAGAAATAATAAAGAGTAGGGCAGATACATACATACAAATATTACAAATGTGAAAATAAGCGTGTACTATAGAAATGTACCGATAGTTATTCCAACTAAACGTAAAGTCAATAATATCCGTAATTCCGAAATCGGTCTCTTTCCATCTTTTGCGCATGCAATGTGTAGAAAAAGGACAGTTAGCTATTTGATTATTTTGTTTGCTTTTGTAATGTATATTTACAATTCATTTATATATAAATTAAATTCTATACAACTGTACAAAATAACACTTTTAAATGATAACTATGATAACACAATATATTTGTTTAGTGAAAATATGATACAAAATCCTGTTTTTACACTTTACCGCAGTAATTTGTACAAGTTATTATTAGATAGTACTGTATGATTGACAACCGCGCTGTTAGTCGAACAAACGAAGACTGTTGCGCGTTTGAAGCTCTATATGCGGTTTTAACGCCCTATAAGTGCGTACACTTCTTAGCGCGTACCTGACGTCCATTTGTTGGTAGGGCAATGATCACTATGCCTAAAACGTGACTCCTATTACTATGATTGTAAACTGGTAAAGAAAATAAACTATTATTATTCTTATACAGTCTGTTTCTACATAGAATGAGTTATGAATACACTACATTACGTTTTTACTAATTCTATTGACAGTTCCCCAGTTTTAATAATCTATGCCTTTACAGGTTTGCTACCGCGTCATGATGCAGCTATGCGGTGTCCACTCGCTGCCGGTGCTGGCGGTGAGGCTTCTGTTCCTCATGAAACGAGCGGGTTTGCAGCCTAACGCTCTCACTTATGGCTATTACAACCGATGTGTGCTGGAAGCTAATTGGTGTCAGGACATGCCCAGGTACACACGCAGATCTATGATAGAAATTTTACAAGCACAACATATGTTACACTTGCTCGTGCCTAATCATATCAGATCTGTAACACGAATTTATTCCTAGTATGGACTTCAGTCTCTTGAACGGGTATTTTAGAACCAGAGAACAGATGTACTTGAGATAATACTTGGAAGGGCCAGGACTTACCTCGTCGCACCTGCACGTCCAGTAATTGAGTTTAATACAATATCCAAGGTTTTCTTATGGTCTCACTACAATGTCTGCACTTTTTGATTTGCGAATATAAGTTTCATGGGATTTATAATATTATTGAATGAGCTTTTTATAATTTATTTTGAGTATTACTCGCGGACACTTGTACTCTTAAGATATTTAACTCGGACGACGGTTTTGAGGTAACGGGGAGCGGGTGAGAGGGAGAATGGTGTTGCCAGAAAATCATGTTATATGCGTTTGAGTTGCGTTTAGTGCGCGATGAGAAAAATACTTAAACTAAATTTTATTAATTAATAAATGTTATAATGTGCCTCAAAATTAATTGTAAACTTTTAGTAACATATGTTTTATAAAAGGCATAAAATATAAATTATTATTTTTACATTTCGGTTTGCCCGGTGGTCTAAAACAAACATTTTGAATTTTTAAACGGGAGTGCCGACTCCCCTCAATAGTACAGCCGGGGTCACGAACTCGGGTTCAAACGCACAGTTGGTACGTGCTCTATCAAGCAGCGGCGCTTTGTGCATTCGCGCTGGAAACCACACGCCACAGAAATGACCCACCGCAAGTTATTAGCGAGTCAGTCTGACTTATTATTACGTGTACAGAACTAGCTCTTTGATTGTTTGCGCAACCTTGTTGTTGCAGCGGCTCACAATTGTTGTGGAACAAACTTCGGATAGCTGTGATGGGAGCAGCTCTGTTCCGGAAAGCGGGCGCGGTCAGGGCGAGCCGCGCGGCGGGCGCTAACTTGCAGGCCACGTCATATGGTAGTAAGTTGTGAACGTTGGAAACTTCAGACGGACCAATCGCATGAAGGATAATTTATGTCAATTACCTACTGCATTGTCAGGTTAGCAAAAATACAGTGTAGCTTCGGTTAAGTAAAAATGGGGACCTAAGAAAGATTTTCCAAGTCAAACTTGTAAATTTTAGCCTTCGAGTGGGCACCGGCGTGTTTTGTTCATGCAGATGTCGCGCATATACGACGCTGTAGAGGCTCTAAAAGCAGGTTGTTGCGTTTGTGTCGATTCTAATGCGCCTGTAAAATAATGCAAACGTGCCCGGGAAGTGTGTTTAGATTGAATGACGAATGTGATATCCGATAACGATTAGAAAATTGTTTAAATGTTGTGTTTTATCAGTAAGTTATATTTTATGTTAAAATGATTATAGAATTTTTTATTTTGTTCGTAAATGGGGTTACCTAATAAAATCGGTTACTTTTACGGTGTATTTTATAATAATGTATTTATTTCTCTCCACAAGAGAGAAATAAATACACACTTCTACACACAACTCTAAACACACTTCCCGGGCACGTTTGCATTATTTTACAGGCGCATTATGTAACATAACAACTGAATTTGGACAAAGAAAGATAGACAAAAATGGTGTTTATATTATGTTTGTAAAAGACTGGTACCTAAACTAAGCATAGCTTGTATGAATACATGTGTATGAATACAGCATATTTTGAAAGATTTTATTTATTTATGTATAAAGCATTGGCTTCATGGTAACAAATAATTAAGAAACGCGCAACGGAATATACATAAACTAAAAATTAATTCGTGTAAAAAATTTAACAACTGAAACCTTTTTTTTTATATTTTGAAAGTACGACTCACGTTTTTTAGGAATTTAAGAAGTTTCAAAGATTTAATCTTTGTTGACTGCGACTCGGTCTGCGCTTACAAAATACACACACTTAACAGTAATTATGTCGAACACTTTCGAAGCATCGAAGCGGTTGGGTTCGAACCAGCGTCTTCCGGAAACCGTGTTAGGCAAAATTTGGCCCCATGAGACCCTTCAGCGAGGTTGGTGTTGTCGCAGGCAGCGGCGCCCTGCGGGCGGCGGGCGAGGCGGAGGCGGGGGCGGGGGCGGGGGCGGACGGCAGCCTGGAGCCGGGCGAGGACGCCGCGGCCAAGTGCAGCGCCTTCGAGGCGCTGTGCCGCCAGGACAACATCATCCGCACCAGCGCCAGCCGGCCGCACGCGCACGCCATGTCCGCGGCCGCGGGCATCCTCATCTCGGGTGGGCCTGCGACCGCGTTTCCTTTGCAGAGCGGTCGCAGCCTTCGGAGACGTCTCTTGGACCGGGCGCTTTACGTCGCAGGAACATCGGGGACAGCACGGCGTCGCAGAAGCCGGGGAGCGAGGGGCCACCGGCGAGACCTTGTATTAATACGAGTCGGGCGATCCCCGTTGCCGTCGAGGCGTACATAATGCTTTTCTCGAACAATATTAGGAATTAATAAAAGACTAAGGAGAAGAAAATATACAATAAAAAAGTAATATTGCTTCTTGTCTTAAATTTAGCGAAGTACAATCCTTTACTGTATTTTCGTTATCGCTGCTCTCACTTGATCTCGTTTTCGCGACGAAAATACGAAAGAGACAAACACAAAACAAAAAAGAATACCAAAGTAAGCGGTATACAATTGTTCGAAAGGAGTACATTCGATTGTCGCGATTATGAACATTTTAGAGCAGTGGACAATAACGCACATTCACACTCCCTCCGCAGTTGGCGGGACGTCAATTCCCTACTAAAACGCAGCTATCTCATTGTCTCATTCCGCTATCACCCACAAGTCGCCGCGGAGGCCGTCGGTGCCAGTTGCCGAATAACAGTGTCCCCGACAGGCCTGCCGTCCAACCCGGACCTCAGCGAGGCCACGCGGCCGCGGAGCAGCTCGCTGGAGGGCGAGGGCCGCGGCGCGCCCTTGGCCGTCGCGGAGAAGAGACAGGTGGGTGGCGGGGCGTTGCGGGGCGGGCGGGGCGGGGTCGCGACCGGCGCTGAAGGACGTCTGTCCGCAGGCGATGGCGGTGGGCGAGGGCCCGCTGGGCGGCGAGCGGCGCCTGCTGTCGCGCTCCGAGAGCTTCGCCGGCGACGCGCAGATCCTGCACAGCCTGCACGGCCAGCACGGCCTGCACCGGCTCTCCTGCTCCGCCGGTACGGCCTCCGAAGTCGTAGGGACGACGTGCCGTCGTTACGTTTTCGGAGTATCCGATTTTGAAGCGACAGTTCTCTTTAGTTGCTTCATTTTTCTGACGTGTTCTGAACGATGTATATATGTGTGTAAAACGTATTGTATTGTACTGAAGACATAAAACACGCGACTGTAATTCGAATGCAATTTCAATTAACATTTTAGTAAGTTTCTAACAACATTTATCAACGTCGTAAAGTTATAGATTACAAAAAATTTATAAATAAAATTCGACCTTAACAATGAATACACGCGCTGTACATTTTTCATTAATTTATCAAAAACTTTTTATCGATATGTCTCTTCTCTATCAAAGCCAGTGTAATAAAGTAACCTTTGCACGTTGCCGTAAAAATGAATTAATTAAAAAAAGTTTTTCCGCTCGTTTCTCACAAATAAACATTGGTTTGGTGTTATTTTACTTCCATTTAATGCATTTACTTAACAAAACGTATTCATTTAATAACGAGGATAAAAAAACGTATGCACATCGTTACAAGGTTATATTTTACGGGTTTTTATGAACTGTCACAGAGATCATGTATCTGATATGTAATCTTGGTTTAGTACCTTATAGTAAAACGCATTTCGCACCCCCAAGACCAATGTGACGGAATACAAAAAGTAACTATTATTATTAACACAAAGATCGAATTTAAAGAAATATTCTTCCGACCTGACAGGTGGCCCTGATTTGGCACGGACGCAGGTTTGTGTCCTGTCAAGTCGAAGGAATTTTTCTTCGTGTTCGACCTTTGTATAATAATTATAACAAACTAGTAGAGTAATTCCACTAAATATAAATGAACATCATCACCATATTAGTCACAAAAATTTAAGTAACGTAAATAATAATAATGCTACGCTTCGCAGAGATGTGTGCAAGTTTCCCCGCGATGTTTTTCTTCACCGAAAGCTCGTGGTAAATTATGTATATGAAATAAAAGTAATATATCCTAATTTTATTACATTTAGCTCTAACCAAATTTCCCAAAAATTACTTTTCAATTGTCGTCTCTTGTATTATTGAGGGTGTGCATGGTCAACATTTTGTGGAACTACCTCCTGACGCTCTGCATTTGGACTCCTGCAGGCACTCCAACCTCGAAGTCGAGGTGTTCAAGGACGCTCAGTTTTCCCGAGGAGTATGAGAAAGAGACATCTGGTGGAACTTTATCGGAAGACGTCAAATCTTCCCCACTCAAGTAACTATAATTGTCATTATTTTATATCGAAATGCGATCAGACAATCCATATATGTACACGATTTTTTTGTTCCACAGGTTGTCTCCTCGTACACCGGTCCTTTCGGACGACCCTCTGGGCGCCCTCAGCGAGCCTCCTCCTTCGGAGCCACCCCCTCCCCCTCCGCCCCCGGAAGACGAACCGATCCTCCCCAAGCACGAGCTGAGCGTCAGTCCCAAGCTGTTCCACCGAAGATCCAACTCCTTCCAAGACGACCCCGCCGAGGACCACCAAGGGTATAAGCTTTCCTGTACCTTTGCTTTCTTTTATCTCTAACGCTTTCATACGTTAAGTTGCACATGTAATTATTAAAATATACTTCTTCAAATAGAGTCCGCCTGTTTATTTTTTCTAATATTAATGAAAAATGCTCTATTTTGATAGGTAGTATCAATATGAAGTGTTTAAATGTGACGGCAAGCATTTTAATGTAAAATTAGCCATTGTAGCAAGGAGATAAAAACTATGGCAGTGATTCAAAGTCGACTGTAATGTATAAAAGTACATTTTAATAAAAGTAACATGTTTACTTGTGGTGGCCTAGAGATCTACCAACTGCACGTAAAGAGCCTAAGCCAGTTTTACAAAACCATACAATTAAAATACAATTTCACCCTAATGGTTCACCTCACCTGTAGTGATGTCCGAAGTAAAGTTCACCTAACTTGCCGCACGTCGCCCAGTTAACAACTAAACGCCCGGCCCGCGATCCCCGGCAGAGCCCCGCCAGTAACCGCTCCTCTCCGATCCGTACTAACTGGAGTAGCGCTAGATCTATGCTCTTGTGAAGCAAGATGACCTCGATAGTTTCCTCTTGCAGGAAACTGCATAGGAGTGAGACGGCGCCGGGAGGGACGGTCGCTTCCAGTTTGGCTAGCTTGGGAGGACTCTTCGGGTAAGTACCCGCGATCCGGACTCACTGCTATTTAATTATCCTGTACACTCTTACAAGCTGACTATAATTAGTCGTTTTTGAAGGTAGAGGAAAATGACAGTTCATTACGCAAAAGTGTTGACCGCTTGTAAGCAGCTAGTTATGGCAGTCGACATTCTATCGATTATCGACTTGTTACATTTGAATTATCATCGGCCCAGTATTCGTCCTCTGCAACTGCTGAGCACATTGAACTGGGTTCATTGAATTGAATTTTTTATAAATTTATTACATCGACTGCATTTAGAACTACTCGTAGGTCTATTAAAAATAGAAAGAGGAGACATTATATATTAAAGTTTTTCATTATAGATAATCAAATCCGCTTGTTCTTGTTAAAATGTATATCGGCTCGACAACGTTTTGAGCGCTATCATCAAACATCAGGAAGCATCGTTAAACATCCCGAGCAATGAGAAAAAAGAAGAACTTAGTTTCAAAGTTATTTAATTTTACAAAAAAAACAGTCGTTATCTAGTCCTATCCTAGGCAGGTGGCACTTCTTGTTTCGTCGATGGCTGGACGAAGAAAAAAAGTGGTTTCCCTTCATGCCATCTGCTTTTATAGGCTGTCGTAGCGCGAACCCTTCCGCGTTGATGACAGTTGATTCCCGCGCGCCGCGTCTCGTTCAGCGTTCGTAATCATGATCGTCTTCGACATGTATATTGATAAAAATTGATTTCGGCACTAGTAGACCAAACACCAACATTAGAATGAAGAAGGCGATAAGGCAATTAGTAATCATTAGAATGTTGTAACATTTATAATTCAGACATAGTCGACAACAACTACATGACTATTAATATTTTATGAAAACTCAACCCTACCAATACAAATGGCATTTTACTCCGTCTTCAAAAATATAGTAGGGCTAGTATACCCTTTTTACAATATGGTACATAAATAAATGAAAGGAATATTTATAAATTACATATAAATAATAATAGTTATTGTACAGTACCACTATTTTCTTTCCGGATATCTTTGGGCAACATTTGTGGTTTTCGGCTGTCGTCGGATTTGTATCAGTTGCCCTTTGCTCATGTTGCAAACAGAACGCACTCAATCATGTTGGAAGTATACATTGTTAAGGGGTAATTTTATTATTAAAAAACGACAAACAAATAGTTTTACAGCTGTATATAGTTTACATGGAAACCGAAACAAAACAGTAAAGTACGTAATTCTGAATTTATTATAGACGATTAATCAGGTAATCACTAGGCATGACAATTTGTTTTCAAGTGCATTCATAAATTCGGCGTTAGTTAGTAGCAGAGGAACTCCTTGTGAAAGAGTTCGTCCAGGGAAGTACCGCCCTGTCAACTTACCTATATCTGCCGCCAAGTAGTAATGTGAGCATTACTGCGTTCCAGTTTTGAAGGGTAAGGGTGCTGGTGAAATTACACACACATGAAATTTGTCAATTCGTGTCTCAGGGTGACAGGCGTAGTGGCAGTATCCCTAAGATCTTTGCGATTCAAAGCTCTGAGCGGCACTACTTGCCGTACTTGGCGTGTCGGTTACTACTTGTTCATCCCGTCGTAAACCAATTTGTGTCATAAACAAAAAAAAATCTACGACTGCAGAGAGATATTAAGAAAATAATTGTACTGTGTCTACTTATATGTTGACAATGTACAAGTTGTAAGTGGTAGAAATTAGCTCTTCAAACATGACTATATCTTGGATGCATTCAAATAAGTGGCACTAACGTTACGTCATTATTTATGGCACTATTATGTTGTTAATAAAATAACATTTCGGACAGAACAACTTTTAAAAACTATTTATAATCTTGACAAGAATTCGCTACCACACGAGCTCTGTACAGATAAACAAAATTAAGTATAGGTTCTAATGCTGCTGCATGGTTGCCGATGTACAAAATCAATCGTTGCATGCATGTAAATATACGAATGCCACTTAAACTCTAACACCATAGTAAGAGAAATTCCATAAGAATTTTGTGTGAAGTGACATAATTTTTGTTTCTTTTTTATTTCGCCTCAACACATCACGATGTAGTTTTTCTTCACTTTTAGCGAGAGGAGGTACATACCGCCACTGGGGTACGAACCGTCAACATCTCTATTGAAAAGCAACCGTACTCCCATCGGGCTAGGACCGCTTTTAAATACTGCATAAATTTGAAAAGACAATTAAAGTAAACACTTCTAAATAAGGCATGGTATTGTTTCACAATGAGAACTGATTTCTTGTTTTTATTTCATGCTACTTCATAGATGTTTTTTTCAGTTTTAGCATCGGATTTTTATCGCCATTCCTACTTAAAATGTTTTAAGTAATTTATCTTGTCTATGTGACATCACGAAAGAAAGCAATAATTGAATCTTGGTATTCAAAATATATGAACGTTTAGAAAAATATTTTTGAATTTATAATTTGATGTACAGACTAATGGCGATGTAAACCCGTAGATGTAAACAAAGCCCGTATTAATAAACAGCTTCTAATTCCTTAAATCTCAAATCAAGCCATCTTGGATAATACATCAAGTGACAAAGAACGCACTTGATTGATTAGACGATCTTAAGTTCGGAGTACTTTTATTAATAAACGGTAATTAAAAACTAATTACGCATCATTTAAAACTCTTAAAATGATGCGTAATTAGTGAGAAAACGCTGACTCAAGTGATTAATAAAGATGGTTTATGGGGTTCTTAGGGTTTCGCGATTGTTACACGTAGGAAATGAAACTATTTTTCCAAATTTAAATCGTGTATATTTTTTTTTTCAAACAAAGGGCCCTTTACAGGTCCCATGGTCACGGTTGACTGAGGTGATAAAGTCATCAACCAGTTATGTCTAATATTAATGCAAACCACCAAAAGATGGTTTACTTCAATAACATCTTCAGTGTATTTAAGACGAATTTATTAATACGGGCTTAAATAAGAAACTTTTAGCATATTGCATAATCTGTGAGGTATTTTTTTTTGTACGGGGTCAAAGACGCGTGTAGTTTATCATGTAAAATTCCATTGTATGACACATGCGATAAGAACGGTCCAAAGTATGAACCTTGATATGCTCTTGACTGTATAGTAAGTACATATCTGAATATATCAAAACATAGATAAAAATAGGGTAAATATTATGGCGGTATTTCATGCGAGGTTCATTGTTTTACTAACGAATGTCCCTCTCGTTTTTTAACTGCCGTAACTGACATTTTTGTCCTAACTAATTAAAACATACGATCTTTCAAAACTCGATGTTACAAAAGTGGCAGTTGTCCGCTACTCGTATAGCTATTTATACAGGATGTTGTGTACATGCATCGACACATTTTTTTACTAATTTGGGACTGCCATTTGCTAGCTTTTACCGGCTGATCCCATGCCTAGGTATCACGGTAATAGAACTATAATTTTTTTAAATTCATTTACACGATATCTCTTCTTTAGATAGTAATAATTGTGGTTGTTTCTATTATATGTAAGCATTAGGTTGGAAAGGGTAATATTTAAAGATATTTTTAAGTTAAGCTAATTTCTAAATATCTTTATTTTGACATTTTAAATGCGTTTTTTTCAACTTTAAAAGCTCACAAGTCGTATTTTTGCAACCATTTGTATCAAATTACGATTTATTTAGTATGACAATACATTACAGAATACTACAAAACTTATTTTGTGCTGTTATTATCACAAACAAAAAATTGAGTACGGTCTAAAGGAGATATTTCGTGTAATAATTAAACAGTCATATTTCTATTACCGTGACACTAGGATATGAGGTCAGAGGGTAAAAGCTAGCAAATGATTGCCTCAAACCCCCAAAAAATTATATCATTCCATTTGCATAACACCCTGTATATGAATATAACTCATTGATAGAACGAGTTTGACACGAACCTCACAGGTCAATTCGTGAGATACTAAAACCGAAAATACATTGCCCTGAAAATGTTATTTACAAGAATGACGACACATTCTAATAGTGCATGCTACGGTAAACAGACCATAAAGGTCATTTTCCTGTCACGCGGATTTTACGCTAACTAATCCGCAAGCATAACTACTGCTTATCAGGGTTCCATAGACTTTCTGTTGTCACGCAAGCCACACAGATAATATAGATAAGCGTATGCGGATCTAAATCCGCGTGACAGAAAACAGGCCCAAAGGCCTGTTTAAACGGTAGAGCTTCATCGCGAGTACCATCAGCAAATTTGATACCTTGCCACACCCAAAACTGCTTTTATGTTTGATTGTAACAAAAGTATGCCTTAGCCCTTAAAAGTCGTTGGTTGACTAGAATAAGCACAGCCGCCGTTGCCTACAAACAAAAAGAAGCCTTAATGTGGTAAGATGTTAACGTTGTTGATAGTACCTCAAGGTTTCTTTTCTGCGGATTGACGCAATTGGTCATTGTATAAATATTGTTCACAAATGTATGCTATGCACATCACGACATGCTACGCTTGCCTGTTTGTTCCGTAGACGCTATTCGCCCGCCCGACTGTCATTGCGCAAGGAAAACATGAAACTGGGCAAAGCCATGATCGAGAGCTACTTCAGGTAAGTTGCATTGGTGCTGTGTCGTGCCGTGGAGGATAAATCGAGACGAGCGCTCGTGGCCACGAAGATCATACAATACAGGTTACTTCAGAGGTCTATTATTAAAAATTAGGCAATTGACGCTGTTAGACCCAAGGTGGCGAACATAGGAAATGTGTTTCAACGACCAATAGGATTTCACTGTTATGACATCGCTCCACCTATTGAAAATAATCAATCTATAATTTGTACATGCCATTGCTGTGGTCCATGGAGTATATGGCCCTAGGAAATATACTTTGACAGCCCCTTCGATATCGATACACAATATTTGTGTTTTTAGCATACACTCAAAATAATATGACACTACACAATAATAATGATCAATAATCTCAATACAGAGTACTAAAAAAAAACCGACATCAAAAGTCATTCCCCTTGTTTGTGCCACACTTAGAGGTGAAATATTTTCTTTTTTATTTTGGAACCTCCTTTTTTGAAGTCGGATAAAAATATTTGAATGGACATGCTTCTTTTTTAAATTGTGGCCCTGTAAAGTTTTCTTATGCTTTTCTGGCCTCTGATGAAGAAAGCTCGCCCACCCCTGGTTTAGGCCATACTCCGTCTCGCTGGCCCAATGCGGGTTGGAGACTTCATTTATTGTCCAAGAGTTGCGAACCTTCTTCGACATGCAGGTTTCTTCGCGATGTTTTCCTTTACCTAACCGAAACACGAGAGTTATTGCTACTAAATATTCATACGTTGAATTTGTGCAACCGTTGTCCCGCTGGGCTAACACAAATCTTATATATGCTTGAAATAATAGGCCAAACGTACGATTTTATTTAAGACATACTACAGCGCTATTATTGATCTATCCTCCGAGAAATCAAATTAAATTGAAATATTCTCCAAAGTTTGTGGTACAAAAAAATGTGCATGATATGGTTTATTTCGAAAAACACTTGTCAATTCACAGTGATTGTTAGTAGCATGTTAATTTTATTTGCTCTTTTTTAATTATTTTTTTTAGTTAACAACCACTCACAACAACAATATATACAATATTCCCCTAAAAAGTTCGAAAGGTGCCATGGTATACAGACATAATATCACATTATATTTTTGTAACTCTGACGCCGTGATCGGACTGGCTATGACACTCACTAATATAAAGTAAAATATCTGAACTCAGGTTACCTTTAACAAACAGAGCGCAGCAGTGCTTGTTGTTCTTTTTGATGCACTATTTCGGATTTTTTATTTGAAGTAAAAAACTAATTGGTACTATTGCACCTTGAAAAATAATGTTGCCATTGTTATGCTGGCTAGCCTCTACCTTTTTGTACCATTTTGGTTTTTTCAATTTATTTCTACAAATTATTTTAAAAATAATCACCTTGATGATTGAGTGAGTCAGTGAAGAGATCCTTCCGATCCTTAATACAACAATATTTTTATTTCGCCGAAACTAGCAGTCCAGTAAACGTTAGTTTATCATCTCTAATTAAAAATTCGATTACAAGAGCTTTGCGAATTACTATACAAAATGTACACGGTCGCTAGTCACTGCAAACTTGTAAAATTTGTGGCTAGTATTGCAAAAGGTAACGCCGTATATTACAACTCTGGCGCACCTATCGGACCCTTAAACGCGTCGCATTGGTTATTTGGTCACCAAAACTCCCCACTTCCAGTCCGCGAAGTATAGCAGGCAAGAAGTCGAACGAACTGCTCCAGAGCGGTTTGAACAGCCTCAAGTCGTTCTCAACGGGCGTGGTGAAGAAGCTGGACGAGATGAAGGAAGTGATATCGGCGAATTCGACGCCAGTGAAGGGGGCGGTCGCGAACGCCACCAGCGCGCTGAGCAGCTTGATCGCGGAGGAAGACTCCACGGACGGGTCCTCGGAAATGAATCCCGACGGTGCGTGCCGCGAAAGCCCTTTCCCGCCCGGACGTAAGTGCCTCGAGCCGCAGAGCAGAACTACACTAAACTGTGGTTGCAGAGGGCGCGGGCGCGGGCGGCTTCCGGCGCGCGTCCAGCGACGCCGAGCTGGCGTGCTCGCTGGAGCGCGGCTCGCTGGCCACGCTGGCGGCGCACCTGCCCGACCACCTGTACCCGCCGCTAGCGGTGAGCCGGCCTCGCACTTCCGTCCCTCGCCTCGTCCTCCGTCTCTCGGTCTGGGGGTCTCTCCGCCGATCCACGGATCCGTATTATCGTGACGGTCGATCGAAACGGGGAGTCGCCTTTTCTTAATGTCGATCTTTCGATTGAGGAGCGACCGCGTTCCCAGGAGCCCAGCAAGGACGTGAAGGTGTCGGTGGAGGTGCAGCTGTCGTCGTGCTCGCAGTGCCACCAGTGCCTGGCGCTGCTGTACGACGAGGACATCATGGCGGACTGGGCCGCCGACGACTCCAACCTCAACACGCGCTGCAAGGCCTGCGGCCGGCTCACTGTACCGCTGCTCTCAGTGCTGGTGAGCGCTTCTTCCACGTCCTCCTGGGGTTTGTCATGTTGTCCCCGGTGAGATTGGAACTTACATAGAGAGAGACGGTGTCTCTCAACTAATTACCCCAACTCTCTCTGTGTTTAATTATATTACATACTAAATACATTACACAACATTAAAACCTCTTTACAATCTCAACCCACTCGTACAGCTGTAATTATATTCACATTCGCTCATGCACTTGGTTATTTTAGATGCACTATTTACACTTTACTATGTATATTATTATTGTCAATGATAATATATAACTTTACGTATAGTCATTATATGTTTGTTTTTAAATAATTTAATCCCTCTCTGACAGAAAACCAGCGCCTTAGAAACTTTGGCATATGCAGCGCCGTTTCATTGCTATGACAATCATGTTTTGTTTTTTCTTTTATGCTTAATTTGTATTTGTGTTGTATCAGGGAATAAAGTGTTTATCTATCTATCTAACTCCTTAACCAATAAACCGAGTCGTCTTAATTTTTACCTTTGACATGAACCAATAAGTCAAGAGGACTGTTAATAGCGATACAAGATGGCGTCGTCGGGTATTTAGTGCCTATTGGTACACCAGATGTCGCGACGAGTACCAAATAGTTATTTTTGTAACTAATTTTACATTGACGAGCTGCAATTTATCAAAGCTATTATAATTTCTATGGATAAAGAAACAAATCAACTAGATAGCGCTTATTGCATAGATTTTTATGAATAGTGCGGGCTATTCTTTTAATTTGTTTAGGATTAGCGCTATCTACCCATATTAGAAAGCGTTAATTTATAAATTAATTTGTAACACACACTGTCATCTATTGACTGACATATTTGTCAAAGTTCAGAAAATTATTTTAGCTCATGACGAATATTTAAATAATTTTACAAGGAATAAACTGATTTAAGCATATTTCATATTAAAGAGGAATTAATTGATATCCACGGCTATTTACATAACATAAATGACTTCCATTCTATTAATCAGCACCATCTAGATGTAAGATGGAATTTGTACCTCTTTCAGTTATTGGCCTTCATAGATTAAATTGCTTATTTCATTGGCTATTGATTATTTCAAAGTAAAAACCGTACCACCAAAATTTCCTTGCCATCAAACAGTAAGAACTGTTCTTTTACTAAACATTGTCTTTCAACCTACAGGTAAAGCGAGAAGATAAAAATCCTGAAACGATAAGCGTGCCTTATTTAAATCCTTTAGTGCTAAGAAAAGAATTCGAATCTATTTTAGGTAAGTAATTTCGTGTAACTAACACCACACATATTTTTAAAACTAATATTGGTTAACATTATGCAAATTAATATTTCCCTTTTTTATTATTACACCAATATACCCTTCGAATACAAAATTAATAAATAAACTTGCAGGCAGAGAAGGCGATGCGTGTCTAGCCGAGCCACAGTTCGTCGAGTCCCATCCAATAGTATATTGGAACTTAATATGGTTCTTGGATCGCGCTAATATTGACAGCCACTTACCGGAGTTGTTGTGTCCCGATTACCAATCTAAGTACGGTAGTACTGACGCTCTGGTGGAGACGGAGAAGTCGGGTGAGTTACAGTGTAAGGAATTAGTTGTATTGGGTTTGATGGTAACACGTGTTCAAATAAAGTATTATGTAATACAGCTCTAATGGACTGTTCTTTAGACTAAAAAATAAGACAAAGGAATAGCAACATGGGTTAAACTTAATTCACCAAAATATGCAAAGGTGTTTTCGGCAAATAAATTGAAACGGAATTATTTTTAGAAAAAATTAAAATAAAAAGTTCAAGTTTTGTGCCTAATTGAGTATTGGTTGAAGTTATATGTTACGATTTTTAGTTTTGAAAATTATGATGGTATTGTTAGTTCTTATAACAGAAAAGAAATAATACATAATTGTAAGAAATAATTTTAAAACAAAGGAACTTAAAGATGTTAGCTTGTTGGTAGTAGAGCTTCCTGTAAAAGAGTTCGTCTAAGCGGTGATGTGGGTATATATTGCGTTCCGGTTTGTGGGTAAGGGTGTTGGTGAAGTTACAGGCACATGGGACTTGTGAACTTATGTCTCAGGGTGACGGGCGCAGCGGTAGTGCTTCTCGGGGTTTAAAGCTGAGTGTCATTGCAACTGTTCTGGACAGGCGTGTAGCTTACCATCAGGCACAGGTTTTGTTAGTTTTGTCGAACAAGGTACGTTTCTTGATTTGATGGAACGTAGTAAATTTTCACCCTGGTTTAAATCAGGCGAAGAAAATTATCATGATTGCAAACCTGCGTACGGACACTGGTGTTTAGCAAGGTGTCGGAGGATATCGCACTCGGTGGAACGCTTTTTCATTCTTGGGGATGAGCACATTTTGGATTTTCGGGAAGAATCGGGCATTTCTTGCGGTCTATGAAAGGCGTTCGCTACCTCGTCGATTGCATCTACGTACGAAGGATGCAGGAAGGCGAGTCCGGGCGCCGCCCGCTGCCGTGGGGCGGGCCGGAAGGAAACGCGGCTTCGTTCTCGGTACCCTCTTCGGCGCAGCGTGTCGCGTGCTGTGCGCCTGGGACCTGCCGCGGCTGCACGCCGACGCGGGCGTGGCGCTGTACGCGGCGTGGCGCCGGCGCCGGCGCGCCACGCGGCGCTCGCGCGCGCTGCAGGCGCTGCTGCTCACCGAGCACCTGCAGGCGGCGCACTCGTGAGTACGGCCCCCGCCCCGCCCGCCCCGCCCGCCCCTCGCTCACCCCCGCCGCCTCCGCAGGGCGACGCTGGCCGTGCTGGAGGGGCTGCTGGCCAACGACCTCTCGGACGCGCTGCGCCGGCTGGCCGCCTGGCGCGAGAGCACCGCGGGCCACAACAAGTACCACTCCCTGTACCGGTAAGTCCCCCCGCGCGCCGCCGGGCCCGCCCCGGGGGCTGAACGCGCTCTTCGCTCGCTTGCAGGGACGTGCTGTTCCTGGCCATGGCCGCCCTCGGCGAGAACGCCGTGGACCTCATCGCCCTGCAGCGCGAGTACTCGCGCGCGCTGGACCAGCTGGGCGAGGCCCGGCCGCAGGACCTGCCGCCGTCGCCCACGGCCGTGTGCTGCCGGCACTACTTCAAGCGGCTGCGCCTCACGGCCGACGAATGACCTCCGGCCCTGTGGCCGCGGGGCGGGTAGGCCGCGCCTCGCCGGCCGCGCGGGCCCTTTCGACGATCGGCTGAAAGAAGAGCTAAGGAATTGACGCTCCGCTTAGACGGCGATATTGTACAAAGCAACGCGTCGATCGATTTGTGCAAGAATGCAATTATAAACCTCTTATTGTACTAACGATCGGTTGACCCGTGTCATACTTTCGACTGCTACGTGTACGTTTACTTTGTTAACTTACATCCTATCGTAGTTACACACAATACCGTCCATTTTTTGAGTTCATATTTAGGGTTTATACTTCACGATAAAACTCGCACTGCGACCAGAAGCCGTAATCAATGAATCATTCGCTGAACTCGAAATAACACGTACTAAATCAACCGTGTAGTTCTAAAGCCGAATCAAACACTGGTCCACAAATTCCCGTAGCCAGTGCCTGAAACGAACTTTCGATTTGAAAGCAAATCAGAGAGTCCGATTATGACTTTAATGGCGATTATGGCTATGTGGGAGAAAGTTTACTTGAGAAGTCGACGATTCAAATCCCTGTAGCAGCATGTATAATTTTAATTCCTAGGTTACGTACATTTCTGAACGCTTAATAGCAAACATGTACCAATAACGCAAGAGGGACTACTAATCTTTTTACTGCAGATCGTAGATCTGAAAAAAGTCCAAATTCCGTCTCACATCTAGATGGCACTGATCAATAACCTAGAAGTAGGTTATATTATGGAAATGGCCGTAAATATCAATTAATTCCTCTTTAATATGAAATATGTTTAAATTCTGTTTTTTCCTTATAATATTATTCAAATATTCATCATGAGCTAAAATCATTTTTTGAACTTTAACAAACATGCCTGTCAATAAATGGCAGTGTTTGTTACAAAATAATTTATAAATTAACGCTTTCTAATATGTGCAGATGGTGCTAATCCTAAACAAATTAAAATAATAGACGACCCTATCCATAAAAATCCATGCAATAAGCGCCATCTAGTTGATTTGTTTGTTATCACTGGAAGTTAGAGTAACTTCGATAAATTGCAGTTCATCAATAAAAACTAGCTATTTGGTACTCGTCGCGACATCTAATTTACCAATAAGTACTAAATACCCGATTAAGCTGTCTTGCATCGCAATTAGCAGTCCTATTGAGTTATTGATCAATAATAGCAATAATCTTCGCTAACCATGACGTAAATCGTCGTGATGAAATCTGTACAACGAAAGAGGTTCACAATCATTATATGTCTCCAACCCGCACTAGGCCAGGATGGTGGACTATGACCTACATCCTCTCCATAGAGGAAACGTGCCCTGCAATAAAACGTATATAATGGCTGACCATGGTGTATATAAAGACAATACAAAGAATTCACACAAGTTTCTTTTATAATAGCGACTTGTAGAAACAATACTACTGTACATTATGCAATTTGTAATAGTGGCCTAAATAAAATTTTGCCCCAAAACGTCTTGTTACTCGTACTTTGTTAATCACAAATTCATGTTTCATTTGTATCACTGCATATCTATTAGTTTAGTAGCGCGGGTGCTAAATATTTTCAAATTGTTTAAACTATCTATAGGTTTTTGCTTTCCTATTGCGGTTATTGGAGGCTTTAAAGCTTTATTTCTCCCTTTTATGCATTGTTTGGGGGACAAGAATAGGTTGGGCTTGTCCCTGAGCCGCTCACATTCGTGTGTTAAATACTGCCGTTAAGAACACTTAAATTTCTACATTATCTCCTTAGACTTCTTGACCTAGTCTGCCACCATAACGACACCATCCGTGACGCTCGCCTCATAATGTACCTGCAATAATAAAGTGTAATTCGAAATTGTGGCTTCGAGTCAGTCAATATGTTTTAATTTAATAAGGAAGCAAATTACACTTGAATACGTGTAATTTGCTTATTCGTACAGAATTACGTACTCTACTACTATAAAATATACGAAGAACCTGAAACTTAATATAAAGTCACGTTTTTCACAATATTTTTACACTTTTTAATAGCGAATAATGTCAATAAGGATCTTATTATAGAAGCACTATTATTCCTTATAAGAATTTGTGAAGACGACTGTCTAGAACAGGCGGTGTAGTTTTTGTGTTAATAATATATTAATTATTAATTTTCATAAAAGGACTACTAATTTTAACATAATTGTCCTGTGACGCTAGAGCAAGAATGTATTCCCACTTGAACAGATTGTCTTTGTTCCAGCCTACCTACTTGATTAACTCATTGTCAATATCCCCTTAGTAAATTATTATGATCATATTATAAAATATGTAATGAAATAAAGCAGATTTATTAGATGCGAGCTTGCACGTGAGTGACGCAAATGCAAGGCATTAGGCACTGTATTTTAATTGAAAATTTAATACCTACATACATGTTTTTTATCAAAACGGTTAAAAACGAACTGATTATGTGAGCTTGATTGGAAAGTCAAAAACTGTATATAGAAAGTTTAATGACAAATCACGAGTGTACATAGTAATGTTGTATAGGGTAGATTAGACGCCGACAGGCAAGTTACGCAGACATCGTGTGATTGCAGCAACAGTTAAATTCGTAAACGAATTTTAGTAATAGAAATTTTGCATTGAATGTGTTCACAACGTCACATTATTTACTTGTTTTTCTGCAATTTTTGCGGTTATGTGCAACGGAAGGATGTGTCATTGTTATCTATTAAATTTCAAGGCTGGCTTGTTGTGGAATTATAAAGACATTCTTTATGACGCAATGATCTAAATGCAAATATGAAAGGTTCACTGAAGGAAGTTGTACAGGTAAGTAGCTTTAAATTTGTTTATTTGCTATAATACACGATATAACAGAAAATGTAACAAAATGCAGTGCCAATACAATCATATAAATATTAGTTATAAAATGTTAATTATCTACTACAATAAGAAGAACCTGACAAGCTGCAGAATATATCAAGAATGTATATTCGTCTTGAGACCTTTGCTCTACCGACACTTTAGAGGCTTCTTGAAAAAAATACTCTACTGCTAATGGTGTTAAACAACAAAATCAGTCTTAGTTAAAATTTAGAGTTGAAAGTACAAAAAATCTGTTTCTTATTAGTGTACCGTTTCTTTTATTTAATGTATGTTATAATAATAAAACAACGAAATCAGCCTTTTAATTTAAAAGATATTATTTACCGCACAGTATAAATCGGTAAAAAAAATGAAAATAATGTGACTGCCAAAATTTGAAAGTATTTTGATAAATGTGTCAATACAAATGTATGTACTAATATGATTAAATCATAATATTGTGTATTCATTGTAGTAAGTAATAAATATATTATGTAATGATTATTCTTAGTAACAATTGAAATTGCAATAAATTTTAATTATATAACATGTTTTGTCTCGAAGAAAAGTTAAATAAGTAGCCCGACGTGTTGAGCGCTATGGACCAGGTAAAAAATAATGTTTTCAAATCTGGCTTAAGCAGAAAATTACAATACTCATTCGTTACTAACTTGTTCCTTTGGCAAAAGTGCATTGCGATTACTATACATAATTAATGCACATTTTCGCAAGTGTACGTGTGAGGGATTCTGATCATCTGATACAAAATATAAACAAAACGCATCGTTATAAAAATACTCTAGAAAATCTGTAAAGTTTCAGCAATGATTGCGGGTTCTAGATAAGTGTAAAAAAAGTGATATACGTAATTTTTTTTATTTAAAAAAAATATGAAATTACCCCAATCGCCTTTATTCCAGTCGGCTGTACGAAGTTGTCGGGATCTTTGTTTATTATTGTATCCGATAGAATTAGAGGAAATGCGTTGTAGAAATAGTGACAATACTTTTATTTTCATAGGTAGCTATTTTTAGTTGCATCAAGTGATCACACGTAAGCCATATTTTTGTTCCATGCAATTGTACAATGGTGATAATCACAGATGGTATTTTTGTAATAACCTATAGATACCGCATTATTTATTAGAATAAGGAGTTGAGATCAAATAAATAATTTGGTTATTTTTATTGCTTATTTCAAAAGACATGGATATTTTATAGGTAGGCTACCCGTGTTATTGAGTTCAATTTAATTGTTAGTTATTCTCAAAGACAGTTGTAACAAAATGCATATAATTTTTTATAAAAAAAAAATATATAATGCTTTGAATGGCAATGTTTTATTTACTTCAACCCTATATATGAGGCCATGAGAACCATAGTGGCCTAATTCAATGGACAAGCCATAGTGGCCTATCTTACTTAGGCCAGTATGGCACCTCAAATTTAGATCACAGACTAAAAACCATAACAATGATTATGCTGCCATCTAGTGAAAATTCGTTGTATCGCTTTTAGGCCTTTCTTGTTCTATCAAAATGATCAATTTGAACTGGAAAAAATCATACAACTCAATATTGTAAAAAAATGAGTTAGGCCACTATGGTTCTCATGGCCTCATATTATTTACAATATTATTAATTTACTATTATATTAGTTTGTCATACCCAATACTCTATACAAAAACTTCCCATCATCATCATAATAACAGTCGTCGATCTTGTAAGTTGCGCCTTTTTTGTATGCTTTCTTTGGTATCCTAATTCTCTTTGTATAATCTATTTTGATTACATTATTTTCTGTTGGTTTAAACTCTGTTAATTCAGCTTTGCTATCCCCGGTAAAAAGATCTACTTCATGATGACTGTCCGCTTGATTATTATTAACTTTAACAGGTTCAGTAGTGACCATGTCTAACATCATTGTATCAGGCAAGTCAATTTCATTCCCTTTATTTAGGCGCTGTTGAATTTTAGCAGTTAAGTCGTCTAATGTTACCCTTTTAGAATCTTTCTTTTTTCTTTCATTACATTTGGGCATCTCTGGATCTGTCTCTACTGCTGCTGTGTCTTTAAGAGATTCCTCTCTAGCAGCGCATCTTTGTATGATTCTTTCAAATTCCCCAAGTTTCTCTTCTCGAGTTATATCTATTTTTAAGGACTTCTTACTTAATGAAGGTATTTTCCTCTCTGAGAATTTCAGGAAATGTCGTCGTAAATCTTCAGGTATGTCTAAATGACCTTCTTTCAGTTCTTTCCAATTTCTTAACGCTGATTCATCATGACGGGCTATTCTGGCTTGTGAAGCTGGTTTCCAAACATACTTTAGTAGTTTCTGTAATAATAAAGCAATAATTAAATTATGTTTACAATAAACTAGACGACTTTCGAAAACTAATTGATACCAGTATACATCCATGGGATGTACCCAAAGTACCTTGTGATAGCATGCTAATACAAGGTACTATGGATCTTGTCACTTGAATGATACAAGGTACTATGGATTTTGTCACTTGAATGCAAAACGTAAAATTTGAAAATTAGCATAATCTGATTTCATATCTTGCAGCTTTGATATTCTTGTGAAAACTTGCCTTACAATTACTTAATAAAATGTAAGAGTGGCCTTCTGGCCAATTCATATATTTCAAAATATGGAGTCTCTCAATGTTATTAAATGTGACTATGGCTCAGGCACTGTTTCGGGGTATAAAAACCTTCACTTTTTGTTTACCTTAGCAACAGGAACTGTGATAGGAAAACTCTCGGCTATCCTCTCTGGAGTCCATTCATCGGGATGCATTGTAGCTAAATGTCGAATTTGCTCCTTTTCACTCCAAGTCAAAAGGTTGGGCATGTTCTCTTTAAAGTACTTTTCCTTGATAATTTGGTGACGCAACTCATGCTTGCCCATTAGGGTTTCATTCACATGTTCATTGTAAACATCTCCAACCTGTTATATAGACAATAACCAATCATACAATCACTTTCATCCAAAAGTATTACAATTTCAGTGCTAATTCAATAAATTGATACTTTTGACTGTGACTTACACTATGCCAAGTTAATTTTTTGGTCATTTTCTGCTTTTAATGTAAACAGTCTTATTTTATTTGTTAATACAATTTTATGAAATTGAATTGAGTGAATTTTGTGAAAATAAAGAAACAAAAAACAAAGTTTGTGAAAACAAAACAAACAAAAAATTATATGTTACCCTAACTACATATCATTTTTTGTTATCAGAAAGAACGTGTGCCAGTTAAAAATAATTTGGTCTTTCACCCTAATAGAAAATATGAAACGTAACACAAACCTATAATACACTTACTTTGTAAAAGTCACTTTCGGACTGTTCAACATATTCTTCCGCATCACCATCGTCGATTTTGATCCCATCTTCTCTGAAGGCCTTTAGTCTATTTTGTAAGCCGGGATTTTGGGGGACGAACCTCCGACTACGGAAATTACGCACAATAACTTTATCGCACACGTAATATAAATGCTTAAAATTTATAGAAAACATTGTTAAGCACAGTACTTTGTTTGTTTCGTTATTGTATTACAATCACATTACAATACATTTACGAATAAGATTCACAAATATTCTAACCCCAAAATTATTAACGTTACTTTTCTTTTCGTTTATTCTATGGCCCAGATCACGAACCGTTCAGCCATGGCATTGTTTTAATCCACATTCTGTTCATTGCACCCATAGAGAATCATTTGTAATTTTACTTACAATTTCTTACTAGTATTTTATTAATTGTGTAGATGGAATCCATTTCAAAAAATTTAAAAGTCATTTTTGCAACTATATGTATTTTAATTTTATTTAAAGTACCTATATAGGTGGTCTAATTTTAGCGGAGTGCTTCAGTAAAGAGGTATGTAACTATTATTAAAAGAATGGGGCGTGTTCTCACAGATGCTGATTATGTTTTGCATAATAATAATAAATAATTATTTGTTCAGGCATTACAAGCAAAACATTTTGCGTACCAATACCTACCCTTTAACGTAAGTACTAATAGGTAAACTGTAGATATTAAAGAATAAATTTGTTAGAAATAATTAATTTGTAGATTGCAGGGAAACGATTTATACGTATCTGTAAAAACCCCTTTTTATCATTGAAAAGATCTTATGTGAGATAATAACAATACCAAAGCTAAAAAGGTGCTATAAGGTTTAAATGCTCAATAATTTATAAGATATCAATAACGATTAAACTGATTGTTTAACAACTCTCAAATGATTCGTAGTTAATGAAATGAGTAAACGTTGATGCACTTTCCAGATATTTATTAATAAAGACAATTGACGTATATAGTGGATTACTCAAAGAACTTTATTCAATGAAAACATATTAAAAAAGGTCGTAAATTAGTTGGAGTTGGTGGTGGATAGAAGATGTGGAAAGCTGCTTAAGCTTTGTTGTTGTTTAATTAACCTAGATAAACACAAATAAATAAATTTGTAAAGTTACATACTTAGAGTTTTTCTTTTATTGATAGATTTCAAACATAACAAACAAACAGGTTCTAGTTGTCATAGTAACCCTTTTTTTAACATCTCTCAACAGAGACCTATTTGTTCTGAAATCCTCTTAATCCTGGGTCTGGCAAGTGGTTTCCCGAAAATAAATATCAGCCAGCTAATCTTCACTAGTCACCTTGTCGACGTTCAGATCACCACAATTCACCAGCTCTCTAACAAAAAATGTCGCACCCGGATATATTTAGTACGACGGTGAAATTCAGGATTCTCTGCTAGCCTTATAGCATCTTCGTTATCAACTTTTAAACACGGAATCTTCTTAAGATTAACAAGATCCTTTATTACTCGAGACAGCCATATAGTTGCTCTAGCAGCTTCGCTAGCCGCTACAATTTCAGCCTCGGTAGTGGAAATTGAGACACTTGTCTGTCTTTAACTCAACCACGAGATGGCTCCTCCCGCATACATGCACAGCACCCCGCTTGTGGATCTTCTTGTGGATTCTGGAGTGATGATATCTCCCGCATGATCAGCATCGCTGTAACATTCCAAAATGCCTTGTTTGTTTATGTTTTCTTATACTTGATACCTAGATCTGGTGTGTACTGCAAATACCGCATTATGTGCTTCGGTCGCACACAGTCTGCTTCTTCTGGTTTTTTCAGACTTTGTTTCAGGTCTAGTGCATACCATTAAGTATGCCAAGGCTCCAAAGATTGATCTGAAATTATTTTTCATATAACTCATATCCACTTATTTTGCTTGACGTAGGGTACTGTCTGTTACAGTCGGCATCGAGACCGCTTTACAAGTATCGATCCCAAATTTCCTCAAGATCTTCAGTACATAAGAAGTTTGGAATATTTTGAATCCATCTCCTCTGCTCTCTATCTCTATACCTAAGAAATAAGAGACAGGCTTTGTGGTTATCTTGAACCGACCATTGAGTTCCTTAATTAACTCGTCTAGCAGAACTTGACTTGATCCAGCGACCAGACCATCATCCACGTAGGTACAAAGCCACAATCACTTTTCCGAACGCTGTTTTTTTTATCAAAAGACATGAATCTGCTTCACTTGTCTTAAAACCAATTTCATTGAAGAAGTCTGTAATACAACGGTTTCAGCATCGTGGTGCTTGCTTTAGCCTATAAAGACTCTTCTGCAAAAGATAAACTCGACCCGAGCCGTCGTCATAGCCTTCCGGTTCTTTCATAAAATTTCTTCATCCAGAGACCCATATAAGAAGGCAGTTGTGATATCAAACTGGAGCATTGCCATTCCATCGCTAGCTGCTACACTGAGCACAGAGCGAACGGTTCCCATCCCAGTAACCGGGCTAAACGTTTGTTCGTCGTTAATGCCCTTTTTCTGGTGAAAACCTTTAATTACCAGTCTTGCCTTATATTTGTCTACAGAGCCATCAGCGTTCATTTTAACTCGAAATACCGACTTGCAGGGTATGGCTTTTTTCCTTTCGGTAGGTTTACAAGCTTCCACGTATCATTCCACGTATCAACTGCCTCTGTGGCCGAACGGTTACCATGCCGGACTTCCATGCAGAGGTCCCAGGTTCGATTCCCGGGCCGGGAAAAATATTTGTATGGCCTACATTTATTTCTCTTGTGAGTTTGGGTGTAATTTGTGGTTGTCTATGTGTGTGTCCATGGCACCCGCGACACAAGGTTTCCCTAGTGCGGGGCTATGTTGAGTGTGATTATTATTATTTTCTTTTAATGAGTTAATATCGCTGTCCATGGCTTACTCCCATAGCTCCTTCTCCGGGCTTCTAATTGCATCTTTATGCGACGTTGGCTCGTTGTGTCCCATTACAGCATTCACGATAAAGTCTTTGAATCGATCTGGGGCACGTAATGAGGAGCGATCACGAAGTATCGATATCCAGATAAATATCCATAAAACGCAACGTGTAGCTTTCTTTTGCATTTCCTTTCTCCTCTGCTTTGGTACATGCGCAAAGCATAGTGAACCAATTATCCTCAAGTGGTTTCTCTGAGGCTTCTTATTAAGCCAAAGTTCATAAGGCGATTTGTGTTCAACTGTAGTTGGTCCTGTTCTATTCAAAATATAACAGTAGCATTTACCATCTCAGCCCACAAATTCTGAGGTAACTCTTCATGCGCGTGCATCATTGCTCTAGCAGATTCGACTATAGTGCGGTTTTCCCTTTCGCTACTCCCATTCTGTTCTAGCGTGTAAGGCGTAATAAGCCTTTGCTTTATTCCACTTTGTTCAAGTAGATCTCGTACTCTCTTATAATTGTATTCTCCCCCATTATCATTTCTAGCCTCAGACAGCATTTGTTTCAACTTTTTATATACATCAGATTTATTTTTCGAGAAATAAATATATCTGTATCGTGTAAACTCATCCTTGAATAATACGCAGTATCGATATCCAGAAATACTTGCAGGGAAGGGACCACAAAAGTCAGAGTGTATACGTTCACCAGACTTGGTAGCTTTTTCGCGAACACCAAATGGTTGTCTATGTGCTTTTCCAAAAACACACCCTTCGCATACATAGTTCTCGATTATCTGACGTCTTTATTCCTGTTCTCTCTCTATCAATCTTTTGACATTTAAGCTTTTGGCACTTCCAGTTAAGGTTCGAGTCCAGAGTGAAGCCAAGGAACCTACTCTCATTGCATATCGGCATCGGATTGCTTGCTACACACGGAGGAACTGTGAGACCTCGACCCGAGAAAACCATGATGTTGGATTTAGTGATATTCAGCAGCAACTCATTCGATGAAAACCACCTCTGGAGCTGCTCACACCCTTCATCGATTCTCTGTCCCAGCTGTTCGTACGTGCGCGCGCTAACTATAACCGTTGTGTCATCCGCAAACAGTACGGAGAGGCCGGCTGTGATGGCAGTGGGAAGGTCATTTATATATAATAGAAATAGCGTGTTTCCTAAGTTCACACTGCCAGGAACGGACTCCAGTCTTTTACCGTTCGAGGATAATTTCACCACTTGCTTACGATCCGATAAGAACGACGTGAGAAGTTTGTGGCTCTTACCCTGTATTCCATAATGATATAACTTATCCAACAACAGTTCATGATTAATCACATCAAAGGCCTTGGACAAGTCACAAAATATGCCCGCTATTTTATACTTCTCATCCAGACCGGAAACTAAGCAGTCAAATATTTTATGTGCCGCGGTAATTGTAGATATCTTCTGCCGATATGCAAATTGCTTATCTGTCAGCAATTCATTGTCCTCAAGGTGGCCCATTACGTGGGAAGATAGGATAGATTCCAGAATATTAGATATAGTAGGAACAATCGTTATTGGTCTCTAATTGTTCACATCACAGTTGTCACCCTTCCCCTTGAAGACGAGACACACCCTGGTACTCTTAAGCACATCCGGGTACACACCGGTGTCAAAGATAATATTAAATAAGACTACTAAAATGTCTGAGATAAATGGCCATATGTATATCAATATATTTAGTGATATGTCATATTTGTCAACAGTTGAACGGGTCTTTAACATCGACTGTACCACTTTATCTATAAGGCCCCGTGTGATGGTCGGTGGAGAGAAAGTTGGCACATCTGTATTGTGCAGATGTTTGCAGATGTATTGCCTACACATAGACAGATCACTTTCAATTATATATTTGGAGGCTACACTTAGAAAGTGTAAATTAAATGTGTCTGGAACCATATTTATTGGTATATCAATTTGAGAGGATATCTTTGAGGCTGATGTTTGATGATCTGGTTTTTGTGCCTATTTCGTCATTGACTACATTTCATATTTCCTTGGATGGAGTTTTGCTTTCTACCAACCTCTTTTCAATGTAAGTTTGCCGGGCACGTAACGTCTCAGATTTAATAAGATTATAAGATTATTGTACAAATATTTTGCTGCATCACCGCTTCCATCTGCGGGTCGTATCGGCTTTTGTGTTTTACCAACCACAATATCCATACCTCTTAGCAAGGCTGTCATTCGGTACTTCCATGATACCCAGTTGTGGCCGTCTAGTTTTGTTAATTGAATTTTGGTAAGCTCCATTTCACTCATTACCTTGCGGGCCTGGGCCCATAACCAGTTTTAGTTGGTGGTTGATAGAAGATGTGGAAAGCTTAGGCTTGTTTAATTAACCTAGGTAAACACATTGACTTACAATTATATGATCGTCGGGTCCGCGCTAAAAAGTGTCCGAACTTATAGGGCGTTAAAATCGTATACAGAGCGTCATTCACGCCTTAGTCTTCGTTTGTTCGACTGACAGCGAAGCAAGCAAAATTAGACAGTACTGCGATGACATTACAATTTAAATTCAACGTTTTAGCTTTTTCATATTCCTTTACATGTCACTACGTTTAAATAGGTTGACTTGGGACATTTTTTTCGTGGTTTTTGTATTAGACCCGTCGTCCATTTATTTGTAAGTCATGGTAACCTTTTTTTTTTAACAAAATTTACAACCTAAAAATCAGCACGAGACTTCGTCAATGGGTACCTATTAAAATACAAAAAACCGGGACTTACAATCGATTTCATAAAAAATTTCTAACTTAAAAAATCCCGCCCTGTATCATGTCTAGCTCAAAAGTTCCCAGTGTTAGGGCAGAATCGCCTCTGTGGACGGCAGTGGACTCAGAGCGGTGGATTTATTAATAAAATGCCTTGAATATTTGGACACTACATAGTTAACGGCAATCAGTTTCGAGGTCAGAACATACCTGTTACTTTCCATTAGAGAGAGTCATTAAATTAAACTGCTTTTCTGCTTCTGTGTTCAGACAGTAACAATAATTCAATATCTTATGACAATTTGCCAAGAGTTGACCAAGAATTTCAAGCAACCATAAAACAATATCACAGCTAGTGCTTTGACTGAATGTACTTCTATTTGAGCATTGCTAGCGTACAATAAAAAAGTCCCATAATATCTTTCCAATATTTTTTTATAACACAACTTGATAATTTTGTCAATAATATCTACATATAGGTACATTTATCAATTGCTATGGAAGTTACGTAAGTACAATCTATAGCTTTTTAGAATAAATTTCATTCACAACTATGTATGCCATCTATGAAAAACTGCTAGTTACTTTGTTTTTAATCAGTCGTGGCAATTCTTGCGAGCAGAATTTTAATACTTCAACAAGTGCGTCACACGACTAACTCGGTCCCAACCTATTGACGTCATTTGAAACTGGGAATTCCGCTACTTGATTTTTTAGGGCTCTGGGTACAGACCACTTCGCTAAAATGCTTGCGGTTTATGTTTTTGTATTTATTGATAATTTACATACGATTAAATCCTTTGTCTGTAGGGTATCACAATCACTCGATATATTAATCACCTCTGTTGTACACGGGTCTCTACGTAGAGCGATACGTTTTTAGCAAGAATATGTCAAGCATGAGGTATGTAGATAATTTTTTAGAAAAATCTTTACCGTCGTTTTAAAAGTATAAAATATTATTATTTTTCCTTCCGTTTCCTTTATTTTGACATTGGCATAAGTATTTTAATGCCTTATGTTAAATAATATTGTTGCACATATTTTGTTTTTTGTTGACGGAGTCCGTGGTTGAATTGCTTGCACAACGGTTTTCAGGGTATCGCCATCTCTGAGGTCCCGGGTTCGATCCTCCGTTGGGTCAATGTAGAAAAACTAAGTTTTCTATATTGTCTCGGTTCTGGGCGTTTGTGGTACCGTCGTTATTTCCGATTTCTATAGCACAAGTAGTGCTTTAGTTACTATACTTTGGGTTCAGAGCTACGTATGTGATGTTATCTAAGACTATTACAGGGGTATAGAATCCAAATCAAGAAAGCGACATCTTTTCGTTTCTACATCTTCTTGCCATCTATTAGTCACAAAAAACTACTGGCTGTTGGATGGTATTACAATTTGCAAAAGCGAACGAAAAACAAGTCATAACTCCGTAACAAAAAGACATAATACGATAGACACTAACGAATTAACGAGTCCGCCATTTTCATAAGTTTGACAGTAGAGTAAAAGACCTAAATTTGTATCAGCCGAAACGAAAATCTTAACAATAGAAAATTATCGAACCATGCTTGTTTGTTTTTATATACCAAGTAAAAGTAGGTATCATAATTAACGAACAAACCGAGATATTAACTTATATTTTCCATCAAAATGTTGACATGTTGGAAACCAGAGCAGTCTTTTCGGCGTATAATTTGTAAACATGTAGTCCAAAACAAAAACCGCATTTAAAACGCAAACTTATCTCCATGTACAAAAAAAATAGTTGACAATAATACTTTAAACTAACTAGCGGATCCATCAAAAGTTACGTTTACCCTACAATATATTGAAAATCTTGCCTAGTTCAAAAGTCACATTTCTGCTTTTTCGGGTTTCTCTTCCATGTTGCTGGATCATGACTACGTTACCTAAGACGTCTTCAACAAACTGGTTGTACATTTTTTCCATTTTCAAAGGATTAAATTAAAAAAAAACAATAAAACTTTCAAGCGTAATCTCCTTACAAAAACTTACAATCACCATATTGAATCTACGAAATAAAATGCGCTGTGATTGATTGAAATTTACAATATCATTTTTGTTTCTAACCTAATTAGGTCATTGTCAAGTGTGCGCCTTACCCCCGTTTTTTCGGAACGATTTTCAGAGTATCTAAGTACGTCTCTGCGCCTGGAAGCAAAGAACGAAACAAACAAAATGATATTCGTAGTCATAGATCATACACTCTATATTTGTTCATAGTTTAAAAAAAGTAAATTTTGGATAGAGACGGTTTTGCTTCTATACCCCTCATTATATCATTATTTATTTTTTACGAAATAATTCGTGGAATACCAGCCCGTAAAACCGTTATATTTATATGATGGAAGCAACATGTTATGCCTCACTCTTACGAGGAGGTCCTTTCCATGCCCACGATGGTCACGATCTGAAGAAGAAGCCCGCCAGCTGCCTTCCATGCACACCCACCTAAATTATTTTTAATTTAACTTGTTAACATAAACTGAGAGTGAATATGGAACTATAAAGTGGTCATGAACCAAGGGTATTTAGACTTATTTGGCTTTATTACGATTAAAAATAATAATATTTAGATGGACTATAGGATGGATTAATGGAAAACGAAGGATGCATAAGTTGTGTTCTATAAAATTACAAAGCATTTAGCAGCGATACATAGTTTCCGAGATGAAAAAAATAATTGCCAAAAATAACGTGTTGTTTTTTCACTGTCTCGAAAATTATTCTCAACGCAGCAGACAACCAAAATACGTTATTTGTTGACCATAATAATATAACGATGAAAATAGCTTAATTTACTGCTTGCCCCGACCGTCCACGGCGTCCACCCTTCATAATAATTATGCCGCAAGTATTCTGATTAGCAATTCCACGCCACTCCATGCAATCTACTCTTAAACGTTCCTCGCAGACGCAGTCAGTTCGGCGTGGCGCGAGATTGAACGCACGCGCACCAGTGACTTTGGAACTTTTGTTTACGAAATAGCGATTTTTTTTCACGTTTGGTATCTGTTTTCGAAGTGTAAGTACTTTTCAATTTCTTTTTGTAGGACACGTTATAGTTAGCGCTTGTTAATAATTAATTACATAATTTAAAAAATTAAAAACTTAAGGTTTTTTAATTTTTTCCATCTATTAATTCGTTGTAAGCAGAATTATAACAGAACTTCTATTTCTTTTTATCTAAATAATGTTTTAGGAACAGTAGCAGCATCATGGTCTAAGTGTTTTTGTAAATATAAGTTTAGAAACAGCTTTAAAAGTTAGTACTTAACCGCTTGTTAACAATAATAGTTATGGGATAAGTAAAAGTAGGTAATTTAAGAATACCAAGCGTTAAACTGAACTTAAATGTTACCTACAATATACAGCTGAAAACACACAAGGGAGTCACCGCGTTATTGACATGGAATCGCGTTATGCCGGTTACAGCCGCTGACGTGTAACGCACACTTTTACACTAGCTACGCTGTTCCACAATTAAAAATTTCATATTTTATTACAATTTGATGCTTTGTACTGTGTACTTATTATTATTTTAGACTTTGGACCGTCCTTATCTAACTATAAATAAACAAGTAAAAATACTTTATTCTTGAAAACAAAACGTACACACATTATTAAAATAAAATAATTTCCTAAACTGTGTCAAAGACATGGTAAATACTCGGCAGTTTCCTGGCTTTCAGGCTTCACAAAGAAGAGTATATTGGATATTAAAATTGTATAAATAAGTGTTAAAAAAATTTCAAATTTGCACTGCAATAAAAATATATTATATGTATATACCGAACTATATGTGTGCTTAACATTCTAATTGTAAGTAGTTGTCATTCACAAGTTCTATTTCTTAGTACTACTTTTTTAAGGTTTTTTTTTTACTAGTTAAGTACTACTTTTTAATTTTTTTTTTAAATAATCTTATTATAACACTTACGTCGATACGAACACATGCAACGCGCTACCCTCGAAAGTGGTGGCTGAAAATCACTGCTTTGTTTTTGGGCAAATTTTTTGGCTTGCTGCAGCACACACAAACTGTTGGTTACTAGGTCAATAGTATTTTTTTAATTTAATTTCTTTTTGTTATTTTTTATTTTCTTTTCTTTAATTTTGATTTTACTGTGTTTGTCTTTTAATTCTTTTACTGTATTATATTGTTGTGTGTTTGTGATGCAAGACAATGAACGTTTTATCCATCTATCTATCTATTTCGATATCATTTTGTATAATTCGCAGTTCTGACAAATTTCTAGTTACAGTACAAATAAATCAAAATGTATTCTTTCACATTTTGCGAGTACATTCTATTAAATTTTAACTGAACTTTAGTCATTATTCGTGAGGGCAATAAATTGTACCTAACTACAGAAGACTTAATTAAGTTATTAAACTTAATTAAGTTAATAAGCAATTATACTTGTAGCATTGACTTACAAATAAACGGACGACGGGTCTAATACAAAAACCACGAAAAAAATGTCCCAAGTCAACCTATTTAAACGTAGGGACATGTAAAGGAATATGAAAAAATCTTGAATTTAAATTGTAATGTCATCGCAGTACTGTCTAATTTTGCTTGCTTCGCTGTCAGTCGAACAAACGAAGACTAAAGCGTGAATGACGCTCTGTATACGATTTTAACGCCCTATAAGTTCGGACACGTTTTAGCGCGGACCCGACGTCCATATAATTGTAAGTCAATGACTTGTAGTAACTTTCATTGGGATTTATCATTCATCTCATATACTTTGGGATTTATTCATTATAATAATAACGCACACACTCAACATAGCCCCGTACTAGGGAAACCCTGTGTCGCGGGTGCCATGGACACGCACATAGACAACCACAAATTACACCCAAACTCACGAGAGGAATACATTTAGGCCATACAAATGTTTCTCCCGGCCCGGGAATCGAACCTGGGACCTCTCCGTGGCAGTCCCGCGTGGCAACCGTTCGGCCACGGGGTAAGTTTATTCTTAAGCTTTATGCAATTGTTTTAAAGCTGTATATTTAGTTTCAAGGCGAACAATTATTTAATACTTCCTTCCTAACTTTGTTTATAAAGAATTGGGTATTTGGTGTGAATTTTTCTTATGTAGTATTATTCGTTTACCGTGTCATTGATCATCGATTAATTGCACAATCTTATTTTGAAAGAACAAAACATTTGGATTCGGTGATTATTCTTTGTAATGACAATATTAAATTGAATATCTACAAAGTTTTCTATCGCACTAAAACTAAATACATACTTGACATATGAAAATCAGTCCACCACCGTCACCGTTGGAGATAAGCTCTCCCAATTTGCGACTCTATTCCGTGCCTTCTAGCCACCCTTCTAAAGCCGTGAGTTCATCAAGCCGGGAGCGTTATTCCACGTAGTGTTTACCAAATATTAACATAACTTGTTTATTTGACATTTAAAAATGGCTAGAGCCGATGGACTCTGTCACAAACCTCTCCAACTAAAATGCGTGGAAAAGTTTTCTGTTGTGACACAGTAAACATAACCTAAGTTGTTTGAAATTATTGGATTTCACCAACGTTTAGGCAATTTTTTTAGTTAAAATCATTAATTTAATCATAAAATGATCATTTATTTATTCAGAATCATTAAATGTGTAATATGAGAGTGCACAGCAGTAGAGCTCCTTGTGAAAGAGTTCGTTGAGGGAAGTACTGCCATCTTACGTATTTCTGTCGCCAAACTGTGATGTGAGCATTGCTGCGTTTCAGCTTTCAAGGGTGAGAGTGCTGGTGAAATTAATTTTGTCAATTTATGTCTCAAGTTGACGGGCGCAGCGGCAATGCCTCTCAGATCTTTATGATTAACGACAGTAGGCACTAAGACATTAGACCCATTAAAACAAAACTATAATTAAGTAACGACTAAAACCCACCCTGACTTCTCTCTAACATTCTTCCATTCGGTCATCACACTGTGACGATGCAGCGAGAACGGTTGAGGAGAGCAAGCACGCCCACTCCCTAATGGGCGACAGTCGGTACAGATTCGATCATAAAGGGAAAGGTCAAAAAAATAATGATTGAGAATAAGTCGCATGAACCGGATAAAAGAAAGTTAGAAAGATGTTCGAAGGAAGCGACAAGAGCGAACTCTAACTGAAATCATCTTTATTTCATAAGCAAATTCCGTTTGAATTATCATATTGATTAAAATTCTACTACTAATTCGTAAGGGAGATTCACCTGAGAAAAGAATGATCAAGAAACTCTAGGTGTTGCTCTTTGTAAATCTACAATTGCACACATTTGTCATTTACAACATTTATTTCCAATATTATATATCGATACAAATTGCTAGAGCTAACCGGGTCATTACCACGGAATTTTGTCAACCAAGTGGAAATGCGTTTTATAATATAAACCACGTATAAACCTTTAGTGTTAAGTTTTTGTTTCACTATAGTTTTAAATCTCGCAAATGGCGACATAAAAAAAAACATCATTATTAATTAGGATTTCTATTTAAGATTCTCGCTTCTCGCATGACCTAAAAGATATTTTTTAAATGCGAGTAGCGGTGTTCCCTAGCAATGACACAGTTGGCCGAGGTCAGGGACTGAGGTACAAGAACCGGCAAAAGATACTTTTTTATTATTAATTTATTTATTTTAACAGTCAAAGAACCTTTTAAACTCAAAGTAAACTAAAAAAGAACATTAATTTTAAATTACAATTATAATAAGCAAAATATTTTGAATTCTATTTCGTTCAGTTATTCTATTAGTATATATCTAAAACTATTAAAACCATTGACCTAGGTTAATAATTAAAACAAAAGTCACACTATTCTAATTATCATCTTCATCTGAAGCGTCTGGATCATCATCATCAACCACTACATGTCTTGTTAATGGGCACAGAAGAGCGTGAAGCACCTGACATGTTTTCCTAGGGTTGTGAGCCTATAGGATTTCATCACGCAGTTTTTTTTAAACAAGGGAAACCGTATATTGCGAGTGCCAACCACAAATTCCTCCCAAACGCGCGAGAGAAACGATCAGGAATCGATCCCGGGTCGCATGCATGGTAACTGTTCGACCACAGAGGCAGTCTTCATTCTTTCTTTCAGTTTTATTTCAGCGTTAGTAATGCAACTAAATATTCACAAATGCGTCTTGATTGCACATCAATACTAAAAATCATAAATTACCTAAAAGATTCTGTATTTGAGGTTCAAAACAACAAACACTTACTTATTAATGAATGCCGTTAAGACAACATAAAACTGTTAAGAAATACATGTAAATCTTTACGTAACGACGACGTTGGACGAGATTTTAATTGCTACATCGAGAACGAATACTAAGTAAGGTAAAGAAGTTGTTTGTTGTTTTAATTATTTACAACTGAAATAAAAAAGTACTATTTGTCTTTTCCGTCCTTTTCGGATGTAAGCTCATTTATTGAAGCCCCCGATAATTTAAAATTTTCTAATACTTCAGAAACTAACAACTCACGAAAGTTTTATTGCAATCGGATAAATAATGAAACGCATATAGGTCAAACGTACAAACAAATATTTATTTATAATATTTTAAATTCCTAAAGTATTCGATATCGACCGCCAATGGAATCTTAGAAGAGGTCCGTATGTCGTAGCGACTACAAAAATAGAAGGTACATGAGATGTCATAAACGGGGTCCACGGGAGTCAGATAGTGAGTTTTGACTTTCCATAAATGGAAAAGATTTCACCCTAAGGCATAAATTTGAAAAGTTTTTTTTATAACATCGAGTGACGGGACGAACAAGCGTGCGCCTGATGGTGTCCAGTGCCACTTAGAGCTTTATATCGCAAAGATCTGAGAGCACTGCCACTGCGCCCGTCATCCTAAGACATAAGTTGACAAGTCCCATGTGCCTGTAATTTCACCAGCACTCTTCGAAACCGGAACGCAATAATGATAACATTACTGCTTGGCGGCAAAAATAGATGGCAGAATTTCCCTGGACAAACTCTTTCACAAGCTGAGGTCTACTGCT